GCACATTGGAGCACACACACCCCATCTCTGAAGTTCAAACGCGAGTATGCTGCTGTGTACATGTGCTCCATTTCCATCCCACCTGAAGGAACACCAACAGGAGTAACTGCAAGTCAGTTCTGACACTAATCCCCCTAGGGTTGGCAGCAGACTTTAGTTTTAGGGCTCAGTCCTCCACAAAACTGCCTCTGTTTCAGTACCAGCTGCAAGTTGGGTACCTAGACCACCTGCACTTCTGACCAGCCAGGTACAAATTTGAGCATCCCCACTGCTTCCCCAGTTTTGATAATTTGCTGGAATGACTCAAAGCTCACTGAAAGCACGATACTGTGCTTACAAAATCACAGCTTTATTATAAAGAGACAGCTTAGGAACAGGCACAGGAAGTGTGACAGAGGGCAAGGTCTGAGAGGGAGCACAGTGCTTCCACGTTCGCTTCCCAAGGAATCAGGGATCGCCAGCCTCCGGCATCTCAATGTGTTCACCAACCAGGGAGTTCCACAGAGCCTCAGTGTGCAGAGTGTTTATTGGGGTTTCACTGCCTAGGCTTGATTGAGTGAACACTGACCACATGACTAAACTCAATCTCCAGCCCCTTCTCTCCTTCCTGGAAGTCTGTTGGCCGAAAGTCCCAACCTCTAATCCTGTGGTCTTTCTGGTGACCAGCCCCTGCCTAAAGTGATCTAGGGGTCCACCCTGAGCCACCTCTTTAGCATAACAAAGATTTCCATCTCTCAGGAAATTCCAAGGGTTTTTGAAGTTCTGTGCCAAGAACTGGGAAGAAGACCAATTATTTCTTTATCATCAAATAACACATCCACACAAGCACAAGAGTCATGTCTCAGGTGGCCTGGACCCCACAGCATTTAGCCAGCCACTCTGTTTCATTCACAGACTCCCTAGGGTGGTGGCAAAGCAAGCCAAAGCCCTCTGAGGGTTCCCTGGATGACCTTCCATAAAAGCAGCCCCCGGGCCCGGGGCGGCCTCGCCCCAGCTGCCCTTGGGTTCCCTCCCCTCCAGGACGCCTGCTTCCTGAAGAACAGTTCAAGGCCACTGGGCAGGAGCTCGTGTTTAGGGCACAGGCTGGCCTTGCCAATCATTGTGCTATTTTGTTATTATCCCAAGCCCCCCTTGGCAAGGCAGGCCTGGTCCCGAGGACACCACAGCTGCCACTACAGTCAGACACCAGAGGGTACAGTTTGTATCGTGAACCTGCAGGCCCGGGACCATGAGTGACACCCTGCACCATTACCACCACTGCCCTGGGAACTCCACTGAGCTTCAGCGCTGCAGCTACCACAGGGAATTCTCTGTGGCCCTTGGTTCTTCGGTACCTGCTCCTGTGTTTGGAGTGGCTATCTGGGTAGGCATGATCCTATGTTCCAGCTGGGAGGGCAGCCCAAAAAAAAAAAAATGCCGGATGTGTCTGTGTCTCCTGTTCTTTCAGGCCTATGATCCTGCACTGCCCACACCACACCCCCCAGTGCTGCTGGCCCTGGTCTTCCCACCCCACCCTCCAAGACCCTGGACAAATTCTTCTGTTTTTATGGCCTGAGATTGGAACACCCCCCACGGTATTTCCAACACCCATTAGTTGGGTGTTTCAAAGATAGCTGCTCAGGTTGGCCCCTCTTGTGCTCTGCTGTTCCTACAACTCCCCATACCTCTCCCTCTTAGGAGTGGAACACCACTGTAACATATGTTAGGCACATCCTTATATTAGGTACTTATTGTATGCCAGGCCTTGGGCTTCATGTTTCATGTGTGTGATTTCATTAAATCTTCACAGCCACGTTCTCCGATGGCCTTCAAGCCCCTACCTGACCTGGCCACATTCCCTTTGAACTCACTCCCACACGCTCTCCTTCTCTCCATCTGCTTCAGCCACAGAGGACACACCCTATAGACGAGGTGGTACCACTATCATTTCTGTTTACAGATGAGCAAACTGAGATTCAGAGAGGATAAATGAATTGCTTAGAGTCACAGAGATGGTAATTGGTGAAGCCAAACAGAATTCAAACCCAGGAGTGTCAAATGCCAGAATTCATAGGCTTAATTTTTAACCCCTTCCCAGTTCTAGCACACAGATATCCACACCCCTCTTCTCCCACCCGGCCGCCCCCAGCACAATTTCTGAGCCATGGGGCTGGTGAGGAGACTGCATCAACCTGCCCTTGAGAATTTGGCCACAACAGAGCACCATCTCAGCCTTTGCCCCCTTCCATTAGCCAGTCCAGCCTGGCAGAGGGGCGGGGAGGCATCGTGGCTAAGCCCTCAGGGAGCCACAGCTGTATTGCCAGGGCCTGGATCTTGGTGTTGCTACTTACTGGCTGGAGGATCTTGGGCAAGATGCTTAACTTCTCCACGCCCCCCGTTTCCCTGGCTGCAAAACGGGGATTCTACAGTGCTCACCATGCAGAATCACTGTGAGGAGGCGAGGAGTGAGTGCGTGAAGCCGCACTGAGTTGGGTATGGAAGAACAGCAAGCCCAGGTGCCATCTCCCTGGACTGCAGCCTGACCGCCTTCGGAGTTTGGGCCAGCGCATCTGAGCCATCTTTGACCTTGACGCACCTCCTGCTCCTGCAAGGCCCCTCTACCTCCGCCTCGCCCTCCATGGGAGCGCTGCAGCCGCTGCTGGGGTCCCCCTGCCTGCCAGCCTCCTGACCTGCCAAGCTGACGAAGCGCTTGTGCAGTCCTGCCCTCAAGGAGCAGGACCTCCTCCCTGCGGTCTGCCCAGCTCCAGGGCGGGCTGACTGGAGGAGGGAAATGAATATTCATGGTGCTCTTCCCAGGTGCCTGATTTTCTTCCTCACAACAAGGATGCAAGGTGGTCACAATAAGGACACGGAGCCTTGGAGAGGTCTGCCCAGGGGTTGGACTGCTGGGCCTTTCCAGGCTCAGATTCTAAGTCGGCGTTCCTCAGGGGTAGAACTTAGGAAGATCGGAGAAACTTATAAAGACCCCAATTTAGGAGACGGCAAAGCCCAATTCTCCCGATGACTTTTGGAGCTGACCTGACACCTAGCGGCCACAAGTGGGAATTACTCCACCTTTGGAGGCTCCCAGGGCCGCTGAGGCAGCTGGGCTTGGCCACCCATCCCTTGCTTACTTGAGCGTCAAGGGGTGGCCTGGAGGGTTGAGGTGGGGGATGGGGGAGATTTTAACTTCCCTGTAATCTCCATCATTTTGCCAAAGCCACCCAAACAAAAATAAGATTTGACAAGAACATCTTTTCCGTTTTATGCAAAAGATGAGAACAAAATTATCTTGAAAAAATTTGTTTTCATTGATCCATAACCATTACAAATGTATAACTTGTCCATTACACATTTTGATACTTCATAGCCTCTCCTTCTTGCCCACACATAACCCTCAGGGTTCCACCTGGGCACCAACATTGATTGGACACTCAGTTACAGGCAGGGAACCTGGAGAATTTTACCAATTGTAACAGATTTAAAAGACATGATCCCATCTGGGCATGGTAGCTCATGCCTGTAATCCCAGCACTTTGGGAGGCCAAGGCAGGCAGATCACTTGAGGCCAGGAGTTCAAGACAAACCTGGCCAACATGGGGAAACCCTGTCTCCACTAAAAATACAAAAAAAAAAAGCTGCTCATGGTCGTGCAAACCTGTAATCCCAGTTACTCGGGAGGATGAGGCATGAGAATCACTTGAATCTGGAAGGCAGAGGTTGCAGTTAGCTGTGTTCACGCCACTGCACTCCAGCCTGGGTGACAAAGCGAGACTCTTTCTCAAAAAAAAAAAAGGACTTGATCCCAGACGTCAAGGACTTCACTTTATTTGGGGAGATAGAGCAGACGTCTACAGAGCACCCGATGTTATGGCAGATGTTTCAGTCCATAGACTCCTTATTGCGTTTCTTTTTCTTTTCTTTTCTTTCTTTTTTTTTGAGATGGGAGTTTTGCTCTTGTCACCCAGGCTGGAGTGCAGTGGCATGATCTCAGCTCACTGCAACCTCTGCCTCCCGGGTTCAAGCGATTCTCCTGCCTCAGCCTCTTGAGTAGATGAGATTACAGGTGCCCGCCACCACGCCCAGCTAATTTTTGTATTTTTAGTAGAGATGGGGTTTCACCATGTTGGCCAGGCTGGTCTCGAACTCCTGACCTCAGGTGATCGGCCTGCCTTGGCCTCCCAAAGTGCTGGATTACAGGTGTGAGTCACTGCACCCGGCCTTTACATTTCTTTATATTCCCTTCATTGTCCTCACTTGGACTCTGAGCTCCTAATCCACCCAGTTGATGGAAATTCCATTTCAGGAACATGCTCAAGGTGGTGCCACTGAGCCTCCATGGTGCTCACTTGTCAGGAGACGCCCTCTACCTATTGGCCACCAGTCCACACTGATTATTGCTGGGGGTCTTTGGTCCCAGCTCAGGGGGTCCTTGCAGAGCTGTTGCTCTGCTGCCCTCATGCTATGTTTGGGGCAGGGGAGCTCTGCCAGGTTGGGAGCCCAGACCAAGAGTCAGCCTCCAGGGCACAGCTCAGCTACTTGTTCTGAGGTCCTGCCAGACTTGAAGGCCTCCCTCTCCTCCCGGCAGTGCTGGGGAAGCTCCTCTGAGGGCTGCTGTGGCCCACCCTTCTCACTCTTCTCCTCAGTTCTGTTCTCCCCAGTGAGCTTAGGCTGGCGAAAATGTGCACTAGGGAGGGATGAGTCTTGCTAGAAACTTCTATCCTGGCCCTAAACCTCACAACGGCTAAGACTTTAATAAGGAAGAGAAAGGGCAGAAATACAGCACATGAGTGGGGATATAAATTATTTCCAATAATGATTCTGCTGCATGTGCGGAGGGGTCTTGGTGTTCACCTCCACGCTTGGTGAAGCCAAGTGAAACACAAAGGATAGTGACTTGGTTTCTAGACCCTTCGCTGGTGCGCCAAAGTGTGGGTTACCAAATATCAGCCTTCCTCACCCCCTACACTTTCCCTACATTTCACCACTTACCCCAAACAATCACCAGGTGAATGTGCTTGTTCATTTCACAGGTGTTTATTGAGTATCTACTATGTGCCAAGCACTACATGGGGCTGCAGAGGGGCACAAGAAAGTTCCTGCCTTGCTAATCTACAATGGTGTCTGGTAAGATCAATCAAAACTCCCAAAGGTGCCTGTTCCACCCACTTAATCAGTGAATGCTGTTCTTGGCTATTCCTTTTCTTCCTTCACTAAGCTCTTCCTGTACCCCCAGTTTCTCAAGGAATTTAAAGGCGAAATGCAGAATGGTAGACTCCTAGAACGGACTGGGAAGGCTTTATTTCAGCTGCTCCATTTTCAAGGGGAGCCACTGGGACTCCAAGATCATGTGGCCAGGATGGGATGCCCGCTCTCTTGATCTCCTGTCCTGGCTCCCTCCTTGTGACCCCACAGCATTTGTTTGCTTCTTAAAGGCCCCTGCCCTCATTCCCTCAGCATCTGTTCCCCCTGCCACTGCCTCCCACCATGGAGGTCTCCCCTGGACTCCATTTCTAATCACTATGACGATTACCTTCATGCTCTGACTTACTCTCTGAGGCTCTTTCCCTGCTGCCTAGCAACCCCATCACTTCCCAATTTGTCTGTGCAGCTCTTAACGAGGCTGCATTGACATGTCCCCTGGTGGTCACTAAAAGCAGAAGGTGGCCCCCATGGTGACGGGCACACCACCAGCAGCCCAGGACGCCCAGAACCAAGCCAGACTTTATTTGCTTGTGCCCAGCCCTGGCCACAGCATCTGTCCATCGAGATTTCTGCCACCTCTTGCTCTCCTTCCTGCCACCATCCGACTTGCCAGGACTCCTCTCGCCGAGACTTCTTTCCAGACCAGACTTATTGCTATGGCTTCATTGTGTTCAAGAAACTGGTACGAAAGGTAAGGGAAAGATGCTGAGCGCCCATACAGCCTCATGGCTGATGGGCAAGAATGTTAAATAGGCTCAAATCCAAAGGAGACCATTTGTAAACCCATCTCTGTCCTTAGAGGTCATGCTGTTAACCATTATATCTCCCCCACTACACACACTTGTGATAAGTACATGGGAAAGGCATGCAAATGTGCACTTAAGACCATTTGCAAGAGCCCTTTGGGGAGGCAGAGTGAACTATGGAGGGAGATAAAAATGGACCTTCATTTTTTTCCCTTGCTATACTTCTGTGGGTTTAGTTTTTTTTTTTTTTTTTTTTGAGATGGAGTCTCACTCTGTCACCCAGGCTGTAGTGCAATGGCGCGACAGCTTACTGCAACCTCCGCCTTCCAAGTTCAAGCGATTCTCCTGCCTCAGCCTCCCGAGTAGCTGGGATTACAGGTGTTCGCCACCACACCTGGCTAATTTTTGTATGTTTAGTAGAGGTGGGGTTTCACCATCTTGGCCAGGCTGGTCTTGAACTCCTGACCTCAGGTGATCAGCCTGCCTCGGCCTCCCAAAGTGCTAGGATTATAGGCATGAGCCACCGCGCCCAGCCAGGTTTAGAATTTTTACAATGAGACATTATTTGTAACATAAAACAACAATGAAAAGGATCATGCAACAATGAAAATTAAAACTCTGCTCCTCAGTCACAGCTGATAAAGTGGCAGTGTGTGATCTGAAGGGCAATTTGAAGTGACCCCAAGGGCTCCCTGCTCGGGTGCGGAGACTCAGGGACCCAGACCCCAGTTCTGTCTCTCGAAGGCCATGTGACCTTGCCTGCAAACCTGGAGACTTTGCTGGATGTGGAACCTGGTCTGGAGCCTCTGAAATGGGCACTTGCCATCAGCTTCCCCAGGAACAAGAGGTGCCACTTTAGGTAGGGGGCAGGTGAGGAGGCACAGGGCAGGCTGCTGAGCAGCACAGGAGTGGGAGGCCCGGTGGTAGCAGGGCGGGCCTGAGCCACCTTTGGGGCCCTCTTGCTGGATGCCAGTTTCACTACTGAGTGATGTCCCCTGTGCTGGTCGCTGTGTGCATTTCCCCCACTCACTCCTTACAGCCCCCTCCCAGGTGCCGCGGTTATCTCCCCGTTTTAAAGGGAGAGGCGATCCACGCACAGCTGCAGCTTTGTTCTGCAGAGCAGGGCTTGCAGCTGGGTCAGGCTGCCTTTCTTGTCTGCATTGTGGTTTCTCCGCACGACGACTCTGAGTGGACCAAAGGAAAGAGGTACTGGGAGAAGGCTCGTGGGGCAGGGCTGGATGGGAGGCCTTGTCCCACAGAAGCTCTTAAGAACACAGTCCAACCACAGGGCCACCGAGACAGATGGGAGCCCAGCTGCAGACCCAGGCTTGGCAGGGGTAACTGTGTCCTGTGCCTGGGCTGGGAGGTCTAGCGCAGTGAGAGACAGAACAGGTGTGGACCCCTCAGGCCTGGAGTCTCGGCCAGAGTTATCCTTCCCAGCTGTGAGAACTTGGCTGCTTTTCTTTTCTTTTCTTTTTTTTTTTTTGAGATAGGGGCTCACTTTGTTGTCCAGACTGGAGTGCAGTGATGCAGTGTCAGCTCGCTGTACCCTCTGCCTCCTGAGCTCAAGTAATCCCCCCACTTCAGCCTCCCAAGTAGCTGGGACTTCAGGCATGCACTGCCATGTTCAGCTAATGTGTTTTTTTTTTGGTTTTTAGCGGAGATGGGGGTCTTGCTATCTTGCCCAGGCTTGTCTCGACCTCCTGGGCTCAAGCGATCCTCCTGTTTCAGCCTCCCAAAGTGCTGGGATTATAGGCATGGGCTACTGCACCCGGTGAACTTGGCTTCTTTGCTGCACGTCTCTAGAGCTCTGTTTCATCACTTGCTAAGTGGGGTGATGGCAGCATTGCCATGGGGCACTGTGAGGCTGACAGCATGCCTATTGGGCAAGTGGAGAGGACAGGCATGTGGTAGGGACTCATTGTGGGTTGCTTTCAGGCATCACCAGCATCATGGACCTGTCCTCTCTCTTCAAGGACTTCGGCCTAAGATACAACATCCCTCACTCGCCAAGCCACGGCAGAGTGCAGGGACCTGTAGTCCCTAACACACCGTTAGCATTTGGTGCTTGTGTGCCTCCGCCCTCTGTCTAGGGCTCTGTCTCACCCGAAACATTGCCACCTCCCGCCTGAGCAACGCTTCCTCTTTGGGCTGCAGGGGTGCCTGGTACACACCCCTGTGGCTCCTCTCACCTCACCAGGCCCTAAAAATCTGCTCCCTTGCCTGTCCTCTTCCTGGGCTGTGAGTGTGGGCTCCGGCTCCTCCCGCTGGCGTCCCCAGCATCTGGCCCAGCAGCCAGCAGCGACTGATTGGGCTCAAGTTTCACTAAACAAGTGAATTGGGGATGAGAAGGAGGGTAGACAGCGGGGCCCAGCCTTGGCATGCAGGGAACAGGCGGGTGGGTGAAGCCCCAAGTAACAAAGTATAGACAGGGCAGCCGGGGGAGCTCACATCAGCCCAGCCAGGGCCCCTTGCAGAGAACGGGGAGCGTCGCGGGGCCTGGGCTGACCTGAAGTTCACCATGCCTGTCTTCTCATCGAGCTTCTTTATCACCTCCCTGACCTGGTACTGGTTCAGAGGGACCTTGGTTTGCTGAGGAGGTGGATGGAACATGTGCAGTTAATAGAATTCTGTTCACCCCTCCCTACGCATGCCCCCCCCCCACTACTACACACACACACCTTCCACACACACACACCCCACACACAATGCCTCACTCCTCCTGGGACCGTGGAGAGCAACTGATTGAGAGCTCAGGGGAAACTGATTCCACAGCATGGAGGGGCTGGAGAAAGCTCCCTGCCCATGGGTCATTGTCCAGACTCCAAAGGGCCTCCCCTTTCTGGGGGCAATAAGGGAGGAGGAGATCAGAGTCAGGTGGAGCGAGTGGCTGGGGAAGGAGACAGGACTCTCTTTTGTATCCTGTGAAGTTCATTCTTACTTCCTGCCGCTGAGTCCCGACCAGCCTCTTCGCCCCTGGCTGGGGCACTGGGCACCGGACACCGACTGCCTTATCCGTCCCTGCCTGGGCCCCGGGAACTTCTCCTCTGGAGTCCTATTCCTGCAGGGCCCAGGTCTCTCCTGGGATGCTCTGATGATAGACCCCTTCAAGTATGCATTACAGGGGCTTTCAGCACCTTTGTTACATGGGGAGTGAGAGGAATGTGGGATTTCAGAAAAATGATATGGCCCAAGGTGGAAATGTTGGGACTTTGGGATGTGGTCTCCTCTCTCACTCCCTTTGTTATCTGCCCAGTAGTGAAATGCAATGGGGAGAAAAACCTCAAGATAGAAGATGTGTCTCTGGGTGGCATCTCGGGTCCCCGGTGGCATCAAGCCATAGCACAGGAATGACTTCAGCAGGGGTTGAGGGAGGTCTTAGGTTCCCCTCTGGGTCTAGATAAATGAGGGGAGTGTCCCATAGCCCATCCCAGGAAGCTCTAGGAAGTGCTTACAAGCTCTTTTGCTCCTTCTCCTCCTCTCCCCTCTCTCTGACACACAAACATACACACACAAACTCACACTCACACTCACACTCAGCCTGTGGCCACTAGGACCCAGCACACCTCTATCATCACTTTCTGGAACTCATCCACAGACATCTTCATTGTCCCGGTGGGGTTCAAGCTCTTGAAGAAGTCCATGACTGTGATTTTGTGCTGGTCTGCATAGTTCTGAGAGAAGCAGAAAAGACCAGGAGCAAACACTTGGCCTTCTAACAGTGATCGCAGACCCCCCTCACCTCCCACAGAAGAGTGGCCCATGCTTCCAGGCCTAGCACGGCTGAGAAGGGCAGAAGGCCAAGGTGAGGAGCCTGAGTCTCCCAGGTGTTGGCCGTTCCCTAAGACCAAGAGCCGAGTGCAGACCCACCAGGCCTGGCAAGGGTGCATGCCGGGATGGTTCCTGTGTGCTCGCCAGGCTTCCAGGAACCCCTTGGCATGGCACAGACGCTCCCTCCGTTCCAAAGGTGGAAGGACTGAAGTCAAGGCTGTTCAGGCATCGCAGTGCCAACGGGATGGGGCATGACCATTATCTACATATGTGATCTGTTAACACTGGTATGGACGGTGTGCTGTGGATGGTGGGCGGATGTTCAGAGATCAAAAGGTTAAACCGCAACTGTATAATGTGATGGTTTGGCTCTATGAATTCCTAGGATTCTCACAGTTTCACGTCAATGCTCACATGGAAACACTTTGTTAGAGTATTTTTAAAAGGATATTTCATTTTTTTCATTTAAAAAATATAGTCATCCCTTGATATCTGCAAGGGATAGGTTCCAGGACCACCTCAGATACCAAAATCCACCAGTATGAAAAGGCAGTCCTCCATCTCCGTGGGTTTCTCATTCCTCAGATGCTGTACTTTGGATCCATATTTGCATATGCAGAACCCACGGGTACGAAGGACTGACTGTATTTATTGAAAAAAAATCCAAATATGTAAAAGTCGATGAAATGGCACAGTTTAAACCCGTGTTGTTCAAGGGTCAAGTGTATTATTACTCACATTGCAAGGCAATTTTAGATTAGCAGAAGAAAATTTTAAATATCACCCACAAATCTAATACCACCACACGCAGGTAATATCCTGGTGTGGATCCTTTTATCTTTTTAGCTATCTATCTGACATCAATCTGTCTAACTTCTATCTATCTGTATATCATTATCATCTATATCTATCTATCTATCTATCTATCTATCTATCTATCTATCTATCTATCTAATCGCTCATCTTTCTACTAAACCTACTGTTTTACAGAACCCGCTGTTCACATGTGAACACCTTTTCAATGACATTATAATATTTTCCTTTTTTTAAAATTTTTTGAAACAGAGTCTCACTCTGTCACACAGGCTGGAGTGCAGTGGCACAATCTTGGCTCACTGCAACCTCCGCTTCTCAGCCTCCCAGGTTCAAGCAATTCTCCTGCCTCAGCCTCTCGAGTAGCTGGGATTACAGGCATGCACCACCATGCACAGCCTATTTTTATATTTTTACTAGAGATGGGGTTTCACCATGTTGGTCAGGCTGGTCTTGAACTTCTGACCTCAAGTGATCCTCCCACCCCGGCCTCCCAAAGTGCTGGGATTACAGGCATGAGCTACCGCACCCAGTCTTACAATATTACAATATTCTTTTAGATCCTTTTTAAGCATTTTTTTTCTCTTCCCCACTGTGACCCCTGCTTCCCCCTGGCCACCCCTCCTTTCCCCTCACTCTCAGAAACTCGGACAGGGTCCTGCTGTATGGATAGCTATTTCTGGCAACATCCGGCTCACGAAGCATTTCCTCAGGGCTCAGCCCTGGGGCCCTTGCTCTTTGTTCCCCACACTTCCCCTTCCCAAGTGCACGGCCTCCCACCCTTCCGGAGTGCCTCCCGACACTACATTTCCAGTTTTCCATCCTCCACGGCTGCGGACACCCCACCGGCACTTCAGTCAACACATCCGAAGTGCCCCTCATGCCCTGAATCTGCGCACTGCTGCTGAGCGCTGTGGCAGAGGCCGTGGGTGAGCCCGCGGCACCCACTGCTGTTTCTTCACAGCAGGCTTCTCATCCATGCAGAGGCTGGAAAGCTGAAAGCGACATTCCCCAAGCCCCCTTGCAGCTGGGGGTCAGAATGGATGGCCTGTGCCAAGCACCTGCCTGAGATGTAAGTGTGAGGCTTGTGTCTGATTTGAGAGAGGCAGGTGGTGGGCAGCGGCTGTGGTTGCTTCCTGACTGGGCAGGGCATTCTGCGGTCGTGCAGCTTCTTGATTATAGCAGAAGGAGCAACCCTCTTGGCAACCCAGTTGGGGTGCTTTGAGAGCCATTTCTGGAATCTAACAAGGGTCTGTTTGTTCAGCCCTCCTGACATTTCTATGGTCTCTCTCCTGTAATAAACCCCTGTGTGCTTAATCTAGTTGGAGTAAATTCTGTGGCCAGCAACTAAGAACCTTGCCCAGCTACTTTGGTAGGTGCTACTACTAAGACCCCACACAGCCCTGCCCTGGAGGAGTTCACAGGATTGCAATGAAAGGGTGAAGCCGAGGGCTTCAGGAACACAAAGGGCGTTCGCCCTTGACCAGGGAATCCAAGAAGCGTTTCCCTAGGAAGTGACATTGTGCAGAGACCTGAGAATGGGTAGGAATGAGCGAGACAAAGAGGGCAAGAAGAAAAGTGTTCCAGGTGGAAGGACCTGCCTTGCCCATACACAGGCCTGCAGTGAAGGGAGGGCTGATGCAGAGAGGATCCGGAAGCACTCCAGTGGGGCTGGAACGTGGAGAGACAGGAAGGGCCAGGTGGCAGGCACTTCCCCCATCTGCACTTCCCTGCCTCTGGCAATCTTTCCTTCAGTCCCTTGGGCTTGAAATCTTGGGTTACCTTTGGGTTTCTCTTATCATCACAGGCCTTCCTATCCCAACACACACACACACACTCACATGCATGCAATACACAACCCCACATACCCAACCATTCGCCAAGTCCTGGAGATGTTTCCATAATGATAGCTCTTACATCTGCCCTTCAATTCCATTGTTATTCTCAGCCAAGCCGTCATTCCACATCTAGAATGCTACAATAGTGTGCTCATATGGTTTCCTACTTTTTTTTTTTTTAAACCTCTTCAATTCACTCCCCATTGCCAGAACCCCTCAGTCCTGCTGGATTTGCATCACATCCACTGCCCAACAGCTCTCACCGGCTCCCTGTTCCCGATGGAATCAAAGCCAAACTCGGAGCCTAAAATCTGAGGGCTGCCACTTGCAGCCCAGGCTCCCTTGCCAACTTTGCCTCTTGGGCTCCTCTATGAACCTGTAGTCATGTGTTAGTGTCCCCTGAACATGCTGCGTGCGGTTCCACCTCGGCACCTTTGCTGGTGGGAGCCTCTCGCCGGAACACCCTCCCACCCCCTGTGGCTCACCTCAGTCTTTGACATTCTTCAGGGCCCTTACCCGATCCCATCTCTTCCAGGAAATCATCCTTTTCTGGTTGCCCAATCCTACATTGATCTCTTATTTGGATTTTGACTACATTTTCTGCTTCTGTCACTTTTTAATTATCATATGACACCTTTTTTTTTTTTTTTTTTTTTTTTGAGACAGAGTCTCGCTCTGCCTCCCAGGCTGGAGTGCAGTGGGATAATCTCAGCTCACTGCAGCCTCCACCTCCCAGGTTCAAGCGATTCTTGTGCCTCAGCTTCCCAAGTAGCTGGGATTATAGGCACTTGCTACCACGCCTGGCTAATTTTTGTATTTTTAGTAGAGATGGGGTTTTGCCATGTTGGCCAGGCTGGTCTTAAACTCCTCACCTCAAGTGATCCACCTGCTTCTGCCTCCCAAAGTGCTGGGATGACAGGCAGGAGCCACCGCACCTGGCCATATGAAACTTTCTATGATCTGTGGGTCATCACTGTATCCATCCCATCTTTCCAACCAGATTGTCGGTCCCCTGAGGGGAAGGGCTATGTTTGACTCTGCATGTCTTGTTTTGTCTCCAAGATTCTTTTTGTGTGCGTCTTTGAACCAGGAGGCGGGGCCTCCACTTTGCATCAGACAGCTCCATTCCTGTTCACTGGACCACCCTGCTCCCCTTGCAAAATAGGTTTGCCCTTGGTTCCATCTGAAGTCATCTTACTCGTACAAATACTCGACACCACTTTGCCTTCTAGAATTTTTCACATAGCAATTTTCATGTGGGAGCTATTTTATTTAGTTCTGGAAACTGAGGCACAGAGCAGACCCATCAGGGGCAGGAAGCAGCCCAGGGACACACCCTGCAGAATGTGCATTGGCAGAGCGCCATGCCCATGCCTGCTCCCCAGACAGTAACCGCTCTGCGGCCAGCAGCAGGCTCCTCGCCCCCACCGCAGGGTAAGAGGCCTGCCGTGGAAACACCAGAGCAGGGTCTGGGCACTGGTCTGCGAGACGATGGGATTGGAGGAGCAATAACATCCCTCTAGGTGCTAATATTCTCTGATTTTGTATTTCCACTGTTACATCTGCCTCCTGTGATTGCCAGAGCTAATCTAAGAAAAGATGAGTTGGGGGCAAGTTACCATTAGAAACAAAGGACTGAAGCGTCTCTCTTTGGCTGAAGCTGCCAGATAGCCGTCCTGACCACAGGGATGTCTTGACCTCCTTACCAGCAGTTGGAAAGAAACTGTGTCTATAATAAGCGGGTGCTTGTTCTATACCAGGCAACCTTCTAAGCACTTCATGCATTTTACATAATTTGATTTTCCAAGCAATCCTACTGGGTGGCTACTGTTGTGTCCATTCTGCAGGTGAAGAGACTGTGACCCAGAGAGCTTTAGTAACTTGCCCTTGGTCATACGCTAGCAGGTGGAGGAGCTCGGGTGGGAGAATCCATCCTGTCCACCTGTCCCCTTCAGCTAGATCTCAGCTCTTCCTTTCCTCTGGGGATCAGGAAGCACTGCTGAGGGATCCAGTAGCCACAGAGAATATTCATTCCATATCTGCAGTCCAAGGGACTGAGATATTCCTTATCACAGAAGGCTGTACAGACACTGGGGTGGAGGGAAAGTCTGGAAACTGATTTGGAGCCATTAGCCAGCTTTCCCCAGGGCTCCCTGGAGGCCCTGAGAAGAAGGCAGGAGCTCACCTGGATCAGTTTCATGGGGTTTGTCAACAAAAAGATGGTTTTCTTGGCAGAGAGGCCTTGTACTGCCTTGAACACCACATCCAGCTGCGGGTGAACGGCATACACTCCGTCCAACGTTTTCATGAACTGCTCGGACACCAGCACGTTCTGTGGCAGGGAGAGAGGGGACCCATGATGATGAGGGCACTGCCATCATGACTGCCCAACCAGTGCACCCCACCCCTTCCACCCGAGCCAAAGTCAGGAAGTTTTGTCTCTTCTAGTTTTTTCTCAGTGCTGCTCCCGGACTGGGATAGTACGGGTATTTTAGAGCTTGTACATCGACTTGTAAGTTTCCTGTGTAATTTTGATGGGATGTTTTTGTTGAGTGCTGGTGGCTTGTCACCTGCTGCCAGCTCAGCTCTGCTCTCAGATAGCATCTGCATCTGACAGATGAGATATGGCTATGGAGTGGCAAGACGGTTCTTAAAGCCCTGAAATGTCCATGTCTGCGTGAGTGTTGTTTGTCAGAGAAAGTGCCCTGGAAGAGGATCCCTGATTCCAGTGAGTGACCAGGGACGAACTGGAAACCTCCCCTTCTGGAACTGCCCTCAGAGCTGGTTTGTAGGACACGGGAGAAAATGCGTCCTGTGAAATAGTGTTTGATCAAACCTGGGCTCCACCAGTTTGGTCAACCTGCTTCATTCCTCAGATGTGGCTTGGAGTACATTTCGCACTTCCAAAGAATTAAGCCCCTGCTTAAGGGCAGTAGGCTTTGTAGAGATTCTAGAGAAAGTTCTAGGAGCATCTACAAAAGAGGAATTTCCATACTGTTCAAAGTTATGGCGGCATTGTTGACAAAGGGGAAGGAGAAGGCTAATTCAGGCTGGGCATGATGTCTCAAGTCTGTAATCCCAGCACTTTGGGAGGCTGAGGTGGGTGGATCACTTGAGTCAGAAATTCAAGAGCAGCCTGGCCAACATGGTGAAACGCCGTCTCTACTAAAAATACAACAAAATTAGCCAGGTGTGGTGGTGGGGGCCTATAATCCCAGCTACTCAGGAGGCTGAGGCAGGAGAATCACTTGAACACAGGAGGCAGAGGTAGCAGTGGGCTGAGATTGTGCCACTGCACTCCAACCTGGATGACAGAGTGAGACTCCATCTCAAAAAAAAAAAAAAAAAAAAGAAGGCTAATTCAGACCTATTTGTTCTGGTAGGTTTGTTAAGTGCCAATGTGGTCACAGTATACAGGTTTATGGGCCATCTAGGGCCTAAACAGCACTATTTCTTTTTCTTTTCTTTTTTTTGAGACAGAGTTTCACTCTTGTTGCCAGGCTGGAGTGCAATGGCGCGATCTTGGCTTATCACAACCTCCGCCTCCCAGGTTCAAGTGATTCTCCTGCTTCAGCCTCCCGAGTAGCTGTGATTACAGGTATGTGCCACCACGCCCGGCTAATTTTGTATTTTTAGTAGAGATGGGGTTTCTTCATGTTGGTCAGGCTGGTCTCGAACTCCTGACCTCAGGTGATCCACCCACCTCGGCCTCCCAAAGTGCTGGGATTACAGGCGTGAGCCACCACACCTGGCCTAACAGCACCATTTCTAATGTTCTCTCAAACACACTAAGGCAGTGCCTGGGTTCACACCTTCCAACCTGTATTGCCTGGGAGAGGAAAATACAGATCCTAACAAAATCTGAATCTGCAGTGGAGACTCGGGGGCGAAGGCAGCATCCTGGCCTGCAGATTCAGAACCAGAGCATGAGGATGGGGAAAGGGAGGAAGACCCAGGAAGCACAAGAATGGCCTGGGGCAGGGAGGACGGGTGAGAGAACAAAGGGAAAGAAAAGCGACTATGTTTGACAATGTCTCAAAATCTGTGGCAAGTAAAAACCCACATTGTATTAATTATTCAGTTCTAAGGAGCTTGGGTTTAAATATTCAAAATGCCATCACTGGAGGCTGAGTGCAGTGGCTCACACCTCTAATCCCAGCACTTTGGGAGGCTGCGGTGGGTGGATCACTTGAGGTCGGGAGTTTGAGACCAGCCTGGCCAACATGGTGAAACCCCATCTCTACTAAAAATACAAAAAGTTAGCCTGGCATGTTGGCACACGCCTGTAGTCCCAGATACTCTGCAGGCTGAGGCACAGAATTGCTTGAACCCAGGAGGCAGAGGTGAGCCAAGATTGCGTCATTACACTCCAGCCTGGGCAACAGAGTGAGACTCTCTGTTTCAGTTTCCTTATATGTAGAACGGGAAAATGAGGAAAAGTACTTGTTGTGGGTTGAATTTTGCCCCCTCCCAGAAAAAGATGTTGGATTTCTAACCCCCAGGACCCATGGATGTGAATTTGTTTGGAAATAGGGTCTTTGCAGATGGTCAAGTTAAAATGAGGTAATTAGAGTGGGTGCTAATCTAATACGACTCTGTCCTTATATAAAGGGGACATTTGGATACAGAGACAGGGAGAATGCCATGTGAAACAGAAGGTAGAGATGGGAGTGATGCTTCTACAAGCTGAGGAACACCAAAGCATGACAGGAACCACCAGAAGCCAGGGGAGAGGTCGGGAACAGATTCTCCCTCACAGCCCTAAGAAGGAATCAGGCCTGCTGACACCTTTCTCTTGGACTTCCAGCCTCTAGAACTGTGAGACAATACATGTCTGCTGTTTAAGCCACCCAGTGTGTGGTACTTCACAGCAGCCTTAGGAAATTAATACAGTATTCTATCTACCTTCTAGAGTAGGATAAAAATGAGCTGGCATATACAAAATCACTTAGGGAAACACAGAGTATAAAATGGTAGACAAGTATAGGCTATTATCACATGCCACCCGTATGCTGATTCAGGCAAGAGTTCCCAGCAGGATCTGAAGTCACCTCCTGGGGCTTTCCTCCTTTATCAAGAGATTTTCACCCAAAAATACTGCTCTGTGTCTAACAGGCCAACTCATGAAATGAAAATAAAGTATGTGTTTTAATACCCAGATTCTACAAATTTTGTGATTCTGGAAACATTCTGGGACCCAGGGCCACTCCATCAGAAAAGCTGATGTTAAAGAATTCTGTTTTGGAGTCCTCCTGCCTTTCTTTTTGGCATTTCCTTATCTCTACTCTCAGGTTTTCATAGCCCTAGTTTCTAGCATCTGGTAAATTATTTCTCACTATGATGTTACTGACTAAATAGCTACGCTTCCTAAAAGGATCCCTGGAGAGGGTAGAGTTGTAACAAAAGAAGTGACCCTTTCATGGAGCACTTGTGTGAGGGCCTGTGAGGGATAGAGTTGTTGGCTCCGGCCAACACAGAGTATAGAGTGGACGGGGTCACTAGCTTGTGCCCAGACACAAGCAACTACCATTTGATCACTTACGGAAATATCAAGCTCTTCCATCCTGGATTTGGGGTTCCTCTTGATAGCCAGGATAAGTAAAATAGCCCCATCCATACTTATGGGATTCAGGAAAAGCTATAGAGGGAGAATCAAGACAAGAGGAGGCTGAGATGGGAGGATGAGGCTGGCCCAGAGCACAGTTGCTACATCTCATCAAATCACAACATCTGTCTCATACCCAGACTTCTCTGTAAGTAATTATCTACTTGTCCGTCTGTTTGTTTATCCATCTGTCTGCCTATTTCACTGCTGATCCATCCATCCATCCATCCATCCATCCACCCACCCACCCACCATCTGTCCATCTTACTGCTCATCCATCCAACCATCTATCTATCCATTCATCCACTTATTTACTCATCCATCTAACTGCTCATCCATCCGTCCATCCATCCATCCATTCATCCAACCACCAACTTATCCATCTCACTGCTCTCCCCTCCATGCATCCATCCACCCACCCACTCATCTGTCCATCTCACTGCTCATCCACCCAACCATCTATCTATTCATTCACCTGTTCATCTTCTCATCCATCCACCTCTCATCCATCCATCCATCCATCCATCCATCCATCCATCCATCCACTCACTTATCCAACTCACTGCTCATCCATCCATCCATCCACCCACAGATCTATCCATCCAACTGCTCATTTATCCAACCATCTATCTATCCAACCATCTATCGATCCATCCATCCATTCATCTACCTGTGCATCTACTCATCCATCCACCTGTCATCCATCCATCCATCTAGCCATCCATCCAGCCAGCCAGCCATCTGTTCATCTCACTGCTCATCCATCCATCCATCCATCCATCCATCCATCCATCCACTCACTTATCCAACTCACTGCTCATCCATCCATCCATCCACCCACAGATCTATCCATCCAACTGCTCATTTATCCAACCATCTATCTATCCAACCATCTATTTATCCATCCATCCATTCATCTCCCTGTGCATCTACTCATCCATCCACCTGTCATCCATCCATCCATCTATCCAGCCAGTCATCTCTTCATCTCACTGCTCATCCATCCATCCATCCATCCACCCACTCAGCACATATTAATTAGAGGCTTGCCATATGCCAGCTATTGGACTAAGCACTGAGGGACACATAGGCAGACATGGCAAGGTTTCTGCCTTTGGGTAGCTTAACACTGTAACTGGGGGAGAAAGGCAAACAAGCCAATAGCATCAGAAGTGTTATGACAGCAGTGACAGAGGTACACCTGGGTACTGCAGGAGCAAGGAAATGAGCATGCAGCATAGGGGAGGGAACCATGGAGCTAAGCCTTGCAGGACTAATGAGGATTAGTGAGGTCTGAGGAAGGGGGGCAAAACCAGAGGAGGAAACAAGATTCACCAAAAAAGAAAAAGGAGTAGGCAAGTGCAAAGGCATAGGGGTGTGAAACAGCATGAGATGTTTGTGAGCAGAAGCAGAGAGAATGAGGCCGCAGAGCTGGGATGGACCACATCATGGAGAACCTTATAGGCTTGGAGAAGGAACAAGGACATTATCCCAGTGGTGCTAGGAGCTGCTGAAGCATGGATAGAAGTTAACGGAAGGGACTCTGGAGCCTGGTGGCTTTGCTTACCAGCTGCCTGGCATTTCATTAATTCCCTGATCGCTTTGTACTTATCACCTATGGCTGCTCTGAGGACTTACCATACCAATTCAGGCAAAGCATTAAAATGAGTGCCTGGTAAGCAGTATGCCGTCAATGAACAATAATTCTTATTATTGAAGGCTTTCAGCTAAGTGGCTTCATGATGAGGCAGCCAAAACTCTTACTGAGCACCTAGTATATGTCAGCTGTGTCCCAGGCTCTGATATACTCCCGTAAGAAAATGCAGACTGGGGCCCAGGCCTCGTGGAGCTCAGCATCTAGAATCCTTTGCTGGACTCACTTCCTAATGGGAATTCCTTATTTTTTCAAGTTTAGGGGAAATGGGCACCAGGGCTGGATGTGGAGACCCAGAGATAATTCCTGTGGCAAAGTTGATGTGGTTTCCATGGTGGCCAAACTAAGAGTTTTGTCTTAAACTTTTCTCTTTTACTTCTAAAACATTTTAGAAAATTGAAATATATTCATTACGTATGGTCATTGTGGAAAAATGAGAAAAGCGGCAAAAAATGGTTTAAACCATGTATACCCACAAAACAGCAAAGACCCCTATTGCCATTTTGCTGAGGCAACTGCTTAGTCTTTTAAAATTCAGTTTCTCAGACTGTCTCTGGCTTCCTCAGCCAATGGGACTGAGCCACCCACAGCCTGGGTCAGCCTCTGTCTGAGTTATACCTGGCCCCGCTCCACCCCAGCTGGGACTCCCAGATCTCCTGGTCACTAGATGGCCAATCTGTTTGGTCTGTAGTCACTGTGCCCCTGCCTGTCAGAATCTGGCTTCCTCCTGTCCTCTTAGCAGCTCCTCATGGTTGTCCTCTCAGATGGCATCCCCTTCCTCACCGTTTCCTTACTGTTTTTTTTTCTTTAGGACCCTCACATCTGTGGTCTCCCCAGTCACCCTCACATATTGAGGAGTTGGAGTTGCCATGGAAAACCAGGTAGAGCAGGCTTCCCTCTGCCTCCTGCTACTTGTGTGGCATAAGCAAGTCACACAACCTCAGTTTTCTCATCTGACAAGTGGGGCTAACAGAGCCCACATTACCAGGTGAGGCTATGAGTAATGAGAGCTGGCTCTTGGCAGGAGCCGCAGAAAGGGAGATGATTAATAGAAGTCCTCACCTTTCATTTATTTTCCAACCACTCAATAGCATCTATATTATAAATTAGCATCTACAAGTAAATTAATTTAAAATGAAATATGTATTCATTAATTCATTCATTTGATGAATATTCACTGGGCTTCTACTATGTGCCCAACACTATGTTAGGTATGAGGGACTAGGTATAAGGAGTTTAATGATGGGAAAACCAAACAGTCTTCGATCATTTTTGAGACAGAGTCTCGCTCTGTCACCCAGGCTGGAGTGCAGTGGCATGGTCTTGGCTCACCGCAACCTCCATCTCCTGGGTTCAGTGATTCTCCTGCCTCAGCCTCCCAAGTAGCTGGGATTACAAGCATGCACAACCACGCCTGGCTAATTTTGTATTTTTTTTTTTTTTTTTGAAATGGAGTCTCACTCTGTCACCCAGGCTGGAGTGCAGTGGCTGGATCTCAACTCACTGCAAGCTCCGCCTCCCAGGTTCACTCCATTCTCCTGCCTCAGCCTCCTGAATAGCTAGGACTATAGGCGCCCGCCACCTCGCCTGGCTAGTTTTTTGTATTTTTTTAGTAGAGACGGAGTTTCACTGTGTTAGCCAGGATGGTCTGGATCTCCTGACCTCGTGATCTGCCCATCTTGGCCTCCCAAAGTGCTGGGATTACAGGCTTGAGCCACCGCGCCTGGCCTTGTATTTTTATTAGAGACAAGGTTTCACCATGTTGGCCACACTGGTCTTGAACTCCTGACCTCAAGTGATCCACCCACTTTGGCCTCCCAAAGGGCTGGGATTACAGGCATGAGCCACCGTACCTGGCCCAAACACAGTCTTCGTTTTGATGAAGCTTTCACATTTGAGGGGATGACAGGTGAGCAAAGAGCCCTTATGTACATGGAATTAGAAAGGGCAGCAAGTTCTATGGGAAGTAGGGAGCAGAGCTCTGGGAGCAGGTCCCCTAGACGGAGGATCCCAGCAGCAAGCAAGTGGAGGGGGAGCAGCCAAGCCTCTGTGGTAGGAGGAAAGGAGCGGAGAGAAGACCAGGGGGTCTTGGGTGCAGAGCAAGGGAGAGCACCGGGTGGACTGAGGCTGGAGGGGCACTTGGGGCTCAGCGAACGGGATCTGAGCAACAGGAAGCCATGCGGGGGTCTAAGCTGAAAGACAGGAGACTGAGGGGCTGAAGGAAGGGGAATGGACGTCAGATTTGTGTTTAAAAAGCACATTCTGAGGGCTAGGCACAGTGGCTCATGCCTGTAATCCCAGCACTTTAGGAGACTGAGGTGGGAGGACGGTTTGAACCTGGGAGGCGGAGGTTGCGGTGAGCTGAGATTGCACCACAGCACTCCAGCCTGGGGGACAGAGCCAGACCCTGTCTCAAAAGAAGAAAAAAGCACACTCTGGTGGCAGTGTGGAGATCCTGAAGGAGACCCAGATGGGAGGAAGGAAGCCCTGTTAGGAAGATCTGTAGTGCACCAGGGAGCACATAGTAGAGCATGGTCACTGCATTTACAGCCAAGAGGTGTAAAAAAAAATACATGCATATATGAAGTACAGATGTTCCCAATTATTCTCTCCAGTATTATGCAGCCCCCAACTCACCCCAACACACACACACACACACACAGAGACACACACACAAAATAGCCCCTTTCCAGCTGAAGACTACCTTCAGAACTCTGAGGCTTTCATTGGATTCCAGTCCTTTGCTGATTTTGGAGGCCCCTTCATTGCCGATGTCATTGCCGCCGACATCCAGGTAGACCAGGCAGCTGTTGAGTCGGAGGACCTCCCCTAGGGCCACAGCCCCCTCATTCCCAAGGCCATTCATGGAGAGATCCAGCTTTGTCAGGGTCACATTACCCTCCAGGAAGAGGGGAGAACAGCACCAGCATCAAGGTTGCGCGTGACTCATCCAACCACAAGGGCCCTGACTTCTACCCGCTGTTGGCATCCAGACTGGGCGCTCAGTGGTCCCCAGGACCGATGGATTTGCCAGATCATTCAGAGCTCCCAGCTGGGCTCAGTCTCAAGTGCTCATGAGACTCCCTCCCTTTGGCTTCTGGTCATTCCCTACCCACTAATTAAACTGCCCTCTTGAAGTGTATCCAAAGATGCCACTCTGGCCTCAGCAGATATGATTTATACTAAAGAATAATGTGCAGTCCAGGCGCGGTGGCTCACACCTGTAATCCCAGCACTTTGGGAGGCGGGCGGACCACAAGGTCGAGAGTTCGAGACCGGCCTGGCCAATATGGTGAAACCACGTTTCTACTAAAAATACAAAAATTAGCTGGGCATGGTGGCGGACACCTGTAGTCTCAGCTACTCAGGGGGCTGAGGCAGGAGAATCGCTTGAACCCAGGAGGTGGTGGTTGCAGTGAGCGGAGAATGCACCACTGCACTCCAGCCTGGGCCACACAGTGAGACTCCATCTCAAAAAAAAAAAAAAAAAAAAAAAAAGAATAACGTGCATCCAGGAATTGTGGGAGGGAGACCAATAACTTGAAAAGTATTTTCAAGTGTGATGAGAGCTCAGTACACCCTCATTGATGGTGACCATGAGGAAGAGGCTTAGGATGGCAGAATGGGAGGCCCTGGCTATCTTCAACTGGACTCCACCCACCACTCCTGGAGAGTGCCTTACCCGGAGACCATTGCACAAGGCCACAGCTCCCCTTGTATGGAAGTTATTCCAGCTCAGATCCAGTGACGTGAGCCCCACATTGATGGCTGAAACAGGGAGGGAATTGGCTTAGCATCTCCCACAGCCCAGAGAACCCATTCTCAGAGTTAACAGATGCCCACGACATTGGGGATAAAGACCACTCAGTGGTCATGCAAAGTAAAATTCTCAGATAATAATTTTTTCAGTTATTCATTTAAACACAAAATTGAAAGATGATCCCCAAAGCTGGCAAAGATGTGGTGAAATAATCCTCCTTACACAGTTTAGGTGGGAAGGAAATTGGTATAGTCTATTTGGCAGATATTATCTGATCACAAATATTTTCCCATTAAAATGTGCATACTCTGTCACTCACCTCTGAGACTCTACCTAAGACGACAGCACAGAATATGGGAAGAGCAAGGTGCTTGTAGATGTTTACCATGGCATCATTTATAAAAGTAAGAATTAGCCGGGCACAGTGGATCACGCCTGTAATCCCAGCACTTTGGGAGGCCAAGGTGGGCCGATCACGAGGTCAAGAGATCGAGACCATCCTGGCCAACATGGTGAAATTGCGTCTTCATTAAAAATACTAAAATTAGCTGGGTGTGGTGGCGTGTGCCTTTAGTCCCAGCTACTTGAGAGGCCGAGGCAGGAGAATCGCTTGAACCTGGGAGGCAGAGGTTGCAGTGAGCCGAGATTGCGCCACTGTATTCCAGCCTGGCGACGGAGCAAGACTCTGTCTCAAAAAAAAAAAAAAAAAAAAAAGTAAGAATTATTTGGCCGGGCGTGGTGGCTTACCTGTAATCTCAGCACTTTGGGAGGCCGAGGCAGGTAGATCACCAGAGGTCAGGAGTTTGAGACCAGCCTGGCCAACATGGTGAAACCCTGTCTCTGTCTCTACTAAAAATACAAAAATTCACTGGGCTTGGTGACTCACACATGTAGTCCCAGCTGCTCAGGAGGCTGAGGCAGGAGAATTGATCAAACCTGGGAGGCGGAGGTTGCAGTGAGCCAAGATGGCGCCATTGCACTCCAGCCTGGGTGACAGAGCAAGACTGCATCTCAAAAATAAATAAATAAATAAAAGCAAGAATTATTTATCTGGTGGAATACTAAGAATTAAAATAGACAGAAGCAGCTGGAAAACATCTTCAGTGGCTGCATTTACACAGGAAGGCTGTGATGGACCTGGCGTATTACGTCATGTGATGTCTTTATCATGGCAGGCCATGGCTGCAGTGGTGACTCCAGAATTTCTCTCCAGGAGAGGCTCAGGGGCACAATGAGTTGGAAGTGGGGAGGCATCAGGCTTGGTGAGAAGCTGGGTTTGCACAGAAATCATACTTTTGTTTTGACCTGAAGATGATTTTGCTTACATGTTCCACAGGGTTGGAAGATCCTATTTAAACACACTATTATTGTTGTTTTTATTTGGGTAGGACAGTTATGCTAAGGAGGCCACTGACAGAAAGTCTAAAGTCCTCTTGAACCACTACTGAACGGGAGGAATTGCCTTTAGGCCTCTGGCCCAGGAATAATGTCTTATTTCTTTTCTTTTTCTTTTTCTTTTTTTTTTTTTTTGAGACAGAGTTTTGCTCTTGTTGCCAGGCTGGAGTGCAATGGCTCAATCTCGGCTCGCTGCAACCTCCGCCTCCTGGGTACAAGTGATTATACTGCTTCAGCCTCCCGGGTAGCTGGGATTATAGGCACCCGCCACCACGCCCAGCTAATATTTTGTATTTTTAATAGAGACAGGGTTTCATCATGTTGGCCAGGCTGGTCTGGAACTCCTCACCTCAGATGATCCACCCGCCTCAGCCTCCCAAAGTGCTGGGATTATAGGCATGAGCCACTGCAGCTGGCCTATTTCTTATTTTTTATGAACAGTGCACTATGTTCTGATCATGCTTCTCTTTGTGTCAACCCTCGGTGTGAGTTTTTAGTAAAAAGTGCACAATACCTTATATAATTTTGGGAACAAACTTTCTCCTGCCTTCATTAACCCCTCCCCTCTCTCCCTCACTCTCTTCTTACCCTTATTTCCTCTTCTCTGCCAGTTCCCTCATTTAAGCTACACCTTGCACACCCGCATCACTCAAATGGCCACACAAGTTAGATTGTAATTCTGATCTCACCACTTACTACACGTGTGATTTCAGGCAGGTTACTTATCCTTCCTTTACCTCTGTTTCCTTATCTGTACAATGGAGATATCAACCTATATAGAGTTTTTATGAGGATCGATGTAAAATGCCCAACATGATGCCTGTCACATAGCAATCACTTCAAATAATGTGTTTTTTTTTTTTTTTTTGAGACAGAATTTCGCTCTTGTTGCCCAGGCTGGAGTGCAATGGCACGATCTCTGCTCACTGCAACCTCCGCCTCTCAGGTTCAAGTGATTCTCCTTCCTCACCCTCCCGAGTAGCTGGGATTATATGCCCAAGTCACCACGTCCAGCTAATTTTTTTGTATTTTTAGTAGAGACGGGATTTCACCATATTGGCCAGGCTGGTCTTGAACTCCTGACCTCAGGTGGTCCACCCGCCTCAGTCTCCGAAAGTGTTGGGATTACAGGCATGAGCTACTGCGCCCAGCAATAGTAAGTGTTTTTAAAAGCTGCATTTGCAGTACGATTATAACAATCTTAAAAGAGGGCACAGGCCGGGCACAGTGGCTCACATCTATAATCCCAGCACTTTGGGAGGCCAAGGAGGGTGGATCACTTAAGGTCAGGAGTTGGAGACCAGCCTGGCCAACATGGTGAAAACCCATCTCTACCAAAAATACAAAAAAATTAGCTGGGCGTGATGGCTCATGCCTGTAGTCCCAGCACTTCAGGAGGCCAACGGGGGCAGATCACGAGGTCAGGAGTTCCAGACCAGCCTGACCAACATGATGAAACCCCGTCTCTACTAAAAATAAAACTTAAAAAAAAAAAAAATTAGCTGGGCGTGATGGCTTGGACATATAATCCCAGCTACTCAGGAGGTTGAGGCATGAGAATTGCTTGAACCCGGGAGGCAGACGCTGCAGTGAGCCAAGATCGTGCATTGCATTCCACCCAGCCTGGGCGACAGAGTGAGACTCTGTGTCAAAAACAAAACAAAAAAGAGAGCACAGTCTGTCTCATGTTAAATTTATGACCTCAGCTTTCAGACAGAGACTCAAACTGCCCCACATGGAAAGGTGCTTCCATTACATGTTGCTTCTCCCTCCTACATGGTATTTTATAACGCCTGCCCTCCCATCAACCCTAGTGGTATGAAGTGAACTTTCAGCTGAAGATCTTGCCTCCTACTTCACTGAGAAAATAGCAGCAATGACAGGCTTCAAATGCCACCGTGAAATCTATCCACTTACCTGCACCTGCACCACCCTTTCCTCGTCTGTTTTTCCATGAATGAACTGTCCCTCCAGCTCTCTCAGGCCGGCGAGCTCTGCACTTCTGTTCTGGACTCCATTGCCTGCAGCCTTCTCATGGACTTTGCTCCTGTAATTACCTCCTTCTTCTTCTGTAGCATCAGTTTCTTCTTTCTTCCTCTCAGCATTTTCCATCCTTAAGAACCCTCCTTGGACTCTGTGTCTCCCTTGGCTCCTGCCCCCTGTTTCTGTTCCAACTTTCCCAGCAGAACTTCTGCAGTTGCCTATAGTGTTCTTTTTGCTTTGCATCCTATTTTCTTTTTATTTTTAGAGGACAGAGTCTCACTCTGTTGCTCAGGCTGGAGTGCAGTGGCATGATCACAGCTTTCTATAACCTCTAACTCCTGGGCTCAAGCAACTCTCCCACCTCAGCCTCCCGAGTAGCTGGGACTATAGGCATGTGCCACCATGCCCAGCTAATATTTGATTTTTTTTTTTTTTTTGAGATGAAGTCTCATTCTGTCACCTAGGCTTCAGCAGGATCTCGTCTCACTGCAGCATCTGCCTCAAGGCCAGGCTGGTCTTGAACTCCTGACCTCAGGTGATCCACCCGCCTCAGCCTCCCAAACTGCTGGGATTACAGGTGTGAGACACTGTGCCCGGCCTAATTTTTGAATTTTTTGTAGAGAGAGGGTCTCACTATGTTGCCCAAGCTGGTGTTGAGCTCCTGGCTTCCCATCTTAGCCTCCCAAAGCACTGGGATTACAGGCATGAGCCACTGTGCCAGGCCTCCATTTTCAACTCAACCTCCTCCAGTTGGGTTTCCATACTCACCCACTCTGCTAAAACAGCACTTCTTCTTTTTTTTTAAATTTTAAGTTCAGGGGTACATGTGCAGGTTTGTTATATAGGTAAACTTGTGTCACAGAGTTTGTTGCACAGATTATTTCATCACCCAAGTATTAGGCCTAGTAGTCATTATTTTTCCCGTTCCTCTCCCTCCTCCCTCAGTTAGTCCCCAGTGTCTGTTCCCCTCTCTGTGTTCGTGTGTTCTCATCATTTAGCTCCCACTTATAATTGAGAACAGGTGGTATTTGGTTTTCTGTTCCTACATTAGTTTGCTAAGGATAATGGCCTCCAGCTCCATCCCTGTTCCTGCCAAGAACATGATTTCACTGTTTCGGTTTTTTTTTGTGTGTGTGACTGTATTGTATTCCATGGTGTATATGCACCACATTTTTTTTGTTGTTGTTATCCAGTCTACCATTGATGGGCATTTAGGTTGATTCCATGTCTTTGTTACTGTGAATAGTTAAAATAGTACTTTCAAAGCCACTAACTCTCCATGCTGCCAAGTGCCATGGTCACTATTTTATCCTTGTCTTATTTGACCTCTCAACAGCATTTGACGCAACTGCCGACCTTCTTCCTGAACTGCTCCCTTCCTTGGCTCCTGCCACCTCACTTTTCTGGTATCCCTCCTATTTGACTGACCACTCCTCAGGCTCCTCTTCCTCCTCTGTGAAACCTAAAAATGTTGGAGTGACCCAAAGGTCAGTTCGATGGCCACCTACTCAACTCTCTGTCTATACTCCCTGCCTAGATGACCTCATCTTGCCTCATGGTTTTAAATACATCTATATACCTATGACCCACAAATGTGTATCTTCAGCCCTGATCTCTTCACCAAGCTCTAAACTCATACAGCACACCATCTACCTGACTTCTCTATGTAGGTGTCAAATGGCCATTGCAAACATCACGTAGCCAAAATGGAAAACGGGGCTCCTATCTCCTGTCCCTCCTGTCTCTGTTGCTCCCTGAGTTGTCTCCATCCACGTAAACAACACCGTCATCCAACCAATAGCTGAAGCAAAATGACCATGAGTCTATCTCTCTCTCTCTTTCCCCCATTCTTCACATCAGCAAGTCCTTTTGGCTTTACTCCCAAAATATATTCTGAATTCATTCACTCTTCTCTATCCCCGCCTCCTCCCTGAGCTCAAGCTATTTTCCTGTCTTGCTTAGACTCCTGTGACAACTTCCTTTTTTCTAATCATTTGCCTGGGGATGACTATTTAGGTTGTTACTATTTTTTTTTCTCTTTTATGACGATGCTGTAATAACCTCCTCACACATTTCTCTGTGTACGTGTGAGAGCTTCTCTGAGACAATTCCCCTTGATGGGAGGGAATTTCTGCATCAGAGAATAGACACATTTTCAAGTTTACCAAGGATTGTCAAGTTGTTCTCAAAAGTGCCTGGCAGCTTGGAAGTATTCTTATTTTGCTCGGTTGTCCGCAGCCTTTGACATTCACTGGCTTTAAACTTTCACAGCTTTAATAGATGACAAGGAGAACCTTTCATTTCTCTAATTAGTAAAGAGATTTGGGCACTCACCTTTCTTCTTTTGCTATGCATATGCCTTGACCATTGCTCTATTGAGGCTATTTATCATTGTCTAATTGAGCTAAGGATCTTTTATCAACATTCTGAATACTAATTTTTGTACTCTATAAATGCTGCAAATGTCTACCCCCTGTCTGTTGCTTGTCTTCTGTTTTTGTTTTTGAGACGGAGTCTCCTTCTGTTGCCCAGGCTGGAGTGCAGTGGCGTGATCTCAGCTCACCGCAACCTCCACCTGTTGGGTTCAGGCAATTCTCCTACCTCACCTCCCGAGTAGCTGGGACGACAGGCGCACACCACCACGTTCGGCTAATTTTGTGTTTTTAGTGGAGATGGGGTTTCACCATGTTGGCCAGGATGGTCTCGATATCTTGACCTTGTGATCCACCCACCTCGGCCTCCCAAAGTGCTGGGATTACAGGCATGAGCCACCATGTCCAGCCTGTTGCTTGTCTTTTAAGTTTGTTCATGGTTATGTGTCTTTTTATGATATGCATGTTTCAAATGTATTGTTGTCAAATATGGGGATTTTTAAAACTTTTAGGTTCAGGTGTACATGTGCTGGTTTGTTATATAGGTAAATTGCATGTCTCAGGGGTTTGGTGTACTGATCATTTCATCACCCAGGTAATAAGCATAGTACCCAAAAGGTACTTTTCAATTGCTTTTGGACCGTTTATGCTTACTGGGCCATACTTAACAGTCATTAGCCTTCCTAAGATCAGCCAGTTGTTAGTTGTTTCTATGTTCTTCTAATCGTCATCAAGTTTTGCTTCCCATGTTCAGGTGTTTGCTGCTGCTGCTTCTTCCTCTCCCCCTCCCTCTCCCCCTCCCCTCCCCCTCCCTCTCCCCCTCCCCTCCCTCTCCCCCTCCCTCTCCCTCTCCCCCTCCCTCTCCCTCTCCCCCTCCCTCTCCCCCTCCCACTTCCTCTCCCTGTCCCTTCCCTCTCCCTCTCCCACTTCCTCTCCCTCTCCTTCTTCGACTCCCTCTCCCTCTCCTTCTTCTTCTTTTGAGACAGGGTCTCTGTTTCCCAGGCTGGAGTGGAGTGGCATGATTATAGCTCACTGCAGCCTCGACTAACTGGGCTCAAAGGATCCTCCCACCTCAGCCTTCCAAGTAGCTGGGACTACAGGTGTGCACCACCATACCTGGCTAATTTTTTGATATTTTAAAGAGACAGGGGTCTCCCTATGTTGCCCAGGCTGGTCTTGAACTCCTGGGCTCGAGCAATCCTGCCTCAGGCTCCCAAAGTTCTGGGATTACAGGCATAAGCCACTGCACCCAGCCAATTCTGAATATTTTTGGGGCATGGTTTACATCACTTTTATAATCACAACATTTAAAAATAATGTTAAAAAGGGAGATTCAGCTCTGCCAAGTAATCCTCCCCATCCCTCCCCTTTGCTGTCCCTTCCTCCAGGGAGACTCACCCAGCATCTGGCCCAGTTGCTCCCCTCCTATATCAGAGAATTGGTTGTGACTGAGATCCAGCTTCTTAATTCGGTAATTGGTCTACAGAAACAAACAGGGGAAAGAGAAGGATTTTTTGTCTTCTGATTGCAAATATCTTACTTATCTCAGGGCAGTATGATGGCAGGGCTCTGATGTACCAAAAATTAGGTGAAGACATTGTCTTAGGCATTTTTTGTTGGACTGTGCTGGGAGAACTTAGTGCCATATAAACAGCTCTACCACTTGCTGCGGCTTTTGCTGGAGTTGGCAAGGTCTAAACACTCCCCAGTCCATAACATGTGAAAGTAGCCTCAGGTCACTGTGCCCATAGCAGTCCCAGGTTGCCCAGATCTCCCAGGGACATCACCCACGTGGCTTGGCTGTACTCCCTGCCTCTTACCGACAGGGCTTGGCAGAGCGGTGCTGCGGATTCTTCCTTGAAGTCATTTCCTGTAGTGAGGGTGGTGTGTCAGCAATGCACTGCTAGTTCACCATGGCCTCTCCCACCCTCTACCCCTCCCAGTCCATTTCCCTTTAGAACAATCAGACAGAGAAACTTTGGGAGGCGGAGGTGGGAGGATCGCCTGAGCCCAGGAGTTTGAGACCAGCCTGGGCAACATAGTGAGTCCTTGCCTCTACAAAGAATTTTTTGAAAAATTAGCCAGGCATGGTGGCATGAACCTGTGGTCCCAGATACTTTGGAGGCTGAGGTGGGAGGATCACTTGAACCCAGGAGGTCGAGGCTGCAGTGAGCCATGTTGGTGCCACAGCGCTCCAGCCTATGTGACAGACCAACGTCCTGTTTAAAAAAAAAAAGGAAAAGGAGCCTGGGCATGGTGGCTCATGCCTGTAATCCCAGAACATTTACAGGCCAAGGTGGGTGGATCACCTGAAGTCAGGAGTTTGAGACCAGCCTGGCCAACATGGCAAAACCCTGTCTCTACTAAGAATACAAAAATTAGGCAAGATGGTGCACGCCTGTGGTCCCAGCTACTCAGGAGGCTGAGGCATGAGAAATGCTTGAACCTGGGAGGTGGAGGTCACAGTGAGCCGAGATCACGCCACTGCACTCCAGCCTGGGTGACAGAGCAAGACTTCATCTCAAAAATAAAATAAAATAATAAAATCAAATAAGAAAGGAAAGGAAAGGAAGGGAAGGGAAGGGAGGGGAGAGGAGGGGAGTGGAGAGGAGGGAAGGGTACTTAAAGCAAGTATTACGTGGACAAAAGAGAACAAGGCAACTGTTTACCCTCTCCTTTAACATTGCCTTTTCTCTCTGCCGTGAAATTCCAGGAGTTGGTAGCATACCCTGTGCATTCATTAGCAACATCAACCCCCAGTCTAGTGCCTAGAGTCTGTAACATCCTAAAAATGCTCATTCAAGTTCAAGCAGCAGGACTGGGACACTTGTGAGTGAGACACTTGCCATGGGTGCAAAGTTTAAGGGGTGCTTAAAAACTCAGTAATCAAGAAGAAGAATATCCTAATACACTAAAAAAATCAAAATTAGTCCAAAATCATCTATATATAACAAGTGTTTTTTTAAATTTTAATTTTTTAATTTTAATTTTAATTTTTTTATGGAGTCTTGCTCTGTCACCCAGGCTGGAGTGCAGTGGCATGATCTCGGCTCACTGCAACCTCCGTCTCCTGGGTTCAAGCAATTCTCCTGCCTCAGTCTCCTGAGTAGCTGGGATTACAGGTGTGCGCCACCACGCCCGGCTAATTTTTGTATTTTTAGTAGCGACATGGTTTCATCATATTGGTCAGGCTGGTCTCAAACTCCTGACCTCGTGATCTGCCCATCTCAGCCTCCTAAAGTGCTGGGATTCATGCCTGGTGTGTTTGTAATTTTAAATAGAGACAGGATCCGACCCTGCACACACATGACTAGACCTTATTCACCTCAGTCCATTCTATCCCTGTTGGATGCTGTTTTTATTTAATGTCTTGATATTTTGCTCATCATGATATTTTGGCACTCCTTACATTTGTGACCAACGCAAGTGGCTCACTCACCTTACCCGAGTTGTGGCCCTGCTAAGCAATGTAAGACACTGGTGATTTCTGGGAAGTACATGACATAGAACCTTATTCCCAAATTTCCTCCTTTGAACCCTCAATAAGCTTTGTATCTCTACCACCTACATAGTGCTTGGCACATAACAGGTCCTTAATAAAGTGAGTGAACGAATGAATGAATGAATGCGTTCACTGGAACACAAATACTTGTTTGGCTGTGTCTGTTAGCAGTCCAATAAAGTGAGATAATAAGCTAGTCAATGCATAAAACTAGGTGATTAATTATTCAAATTCTTGTGTTTAAATCAGTGGTTACAGATGGTACAGAGCTGGTTGTAAGATATTTATTTGTGAAATTTGAAAAAACACAGATTCCAAGATTTCTCCTGCTAAAGATTCTGATTTCACCAGACTGGGATAGGACCGGGCGATCTGTATTTTTACAAAGAGCTTTCTGTACTATGTTAACACATTATGTTAGGGGTCTTAGCCAATGCAACCAGAAAAATAATTAGGAGATATAAATATTAGAAAAGAAAAAACTATCATTATTTGCAGATATAGTCACCTATCTAAATAATTCTGTAAAATTAACTAACAAAATGTTAGAACTCATAAGATAATTTAATAAAGTGACTGGATATGGAATCAATGTATAAAAATAAATAGCTTTCAGACACACCAGTAATGACCAATTAGAAAATGTGATAGAAAAAACCATTCTGTTCACATAAGATAAAATAATAGAAGACCTAGAAATAAACCTAATATAAATAATGCAAGGCTTATAACAGAAGAAACTAAAACTTTACTCAAGAATATAAAAAGACCTGGGGCTGGCCACGGTGGCTCACACCTGTAATCCCAGTTACTTGGGAGGCTGAGGCAGGAGAATCACTTGAAACCAGGAAGCAGAGATTGTGGTGAGCCAAGATCGCACCATTGCACGCCAGCCTGGGAAACAAGAGTGAAACTCCTTCTCAAAAAAAAAAAAAAAAAAAAAAAAAAAAAAAATATATATATATATATATATATATATATATATATAAAGACCTGCAGGAGTAGAGATAAACCATGTTCATAAATGAAGAGACTCAATATTGCGAATATGTCAGTTCTTTCATAAATTAATCTAGAATATTAAATGGAACCCCAACCAAAACCCCAACAGGTGTTTTTTTCTTCTTCTTTTTTTTTTTTCTTAAATAGAACTTGACAAAATGATTCTCAAATTCACCTGGAGGAGAAACTGTACAAGAATAGCCAAGATTACTATTACTTACAATACTAATAGCCAATATTGCAGAATTATTTTGAAGAAAAGATTCAAGATTACTTTGAAGAAAAGATTCAAGGTTACTTTGAAAAAACGTAATGCCCACTCACATACAAAACATATTTATTGGCTGGGCACAGTGGCTCATGCCTGTAATCCCAGCACTTTGGGAGGCCGAGGCGGGTGGATCACTTGAGGTCAGGAGTTTGAGACCAGCCTGGCCAACATGGCAAAACTCTGTCTCTACTAAAAATACAAAAATTAGCTGGGCATGGCAGCAGCCACCTGTAATCCCAGCTACCCGGAATGCTGAGACAGGAGAATCACTTGAACCCAGGAGGCAGAGGTTGTAACAAGCTGAGATGGCGCCACTGCGCTCCAGCCTGGGTGACAGAGGGAGACTCCATCTCAAAAACAAACAAACAAAAAATATTTATTATAAGATTTTATAACATATATTAAACAGTACATCATCTTTTTTTGTATTAGTCACAACACCTTATGTTATAATATGTGGTAATTATAATTTTAATATTCTAAACAAATATTAAGACAATGCAATGTTGACATGGAAATACATAGATTAATGAAATGAAACAGAGAATCTAGAAGGAAACCTATATTTATAATGGGAGTTTAATACATGATAAAGATGATATTTTAAATTAATCATAAAAGGATGAATTATGACATTGAGATGCTAGAGTACCTGGCTATCAGTTTTGGAAATAAAACATCTGATTTCTACCTCATGCCATGCACAAACAAGTATTGGATATATTAGAAAGCTGAGAGTAGAAACAACAACAACAAAAATTGAAAAAAATAAAGGAAAATATTGTTACCTAATTTTGTTTCCTTTTAATTTTTACAGATGGGTCTTGCTATGTTGCCCAGGGGAGCCAGTCCTGGGCTCAAGCAATTCTCCCACCTCAGCCTCCTGAGTAAATGGGACTATCAGTGCGTGCCACCACTGCTGGTTCAGGAAAATATTTTTATAAACTTTGGGAAAGAGTTTTAAAGCAAGACTACAAAAATTAAATCCATAAAGGAAAAAGACTATAAAACTTGACATCAATAAAAGACACAAACTTTGCTACAAGAAAGTACCATAAACAGGCTGGGCATGGTGTCTCATGCCTGTAATTCCAGCACTTTGGGAGGCTGAGGCGGGCAGATCATGAGGTCAAGAGATCGAGACCATCCTGCCCAACATGGTGAAACCCCGTCTCTACTAAAAATACAAAAACTAGCCGGGCATGGTGGCACGCTAGTCCCAGCTACTCAGGAGGTTGAGGCAGGAGAATTGCTTGAACCCAGGAGGCGGGGGTTGCAGTGAGTCCGGATCGAGCCACTGCACTCCAGCCTGGTGACAGAGCAAAACTCTGTCTCAAAAACAAAACAAAACAAAACAAAAAAAGAAAGTACCATAAATAAACCTGTATCTAACATTCTAACATTCAAGTATGAATACCTATAGTTTATGAAGAATGGCTAAAACTAAGTCATACTAACAACCCCATGCAACAACTGACATTTCATAGAAGAGAAAATAGAAGTGGAAGTGAGCATCTCAAAAGGTGTTCTATTTCAATAGTAATAGAATGTGTAACAGTAACAAAGAAAATAATAGCGAGGAACACATTGAATACTTATGTACTAGGTATAGTTCTGGGAGTTTTAGATTTTAATTCACTTAATATTCATAACAACCATCGGGTAATATAATTATCTTTAGTTTATGAATGAGAAAATGAGGCACAAAATGGTTAAAAAACTTGCCCAGTGTCAAAGCTGGGATTTGAACCCAAGCACTGTGACTTCTACACCCACACGCTTAACCATTTTGATTCACAAATAGCTTGCTATTTCCCTTCTGGGGATAGTATAGGCAACAGTTCATTGGTAGAATTATAACCTGGCAGTCTTTTTAAAGGGAAATTTGGAAATCAATTGTTAAGTTCACAAAAATGGATACATCTTCATATTCAGTAATTGTGCTCCTGGGTGTCTATCTAGAAATACAAGAACATGTGCCTAAAAGATGCATGAACAAGAAAGTCCTTTAAAACATTACTTGAAGGCAAAATTAGAAATGACTTTAATCTCCTTTCTCCCAAATAGGGGGGTGTTAAATAAACTGTACTATGTCCATAACTCAGAATACTAGCCAGCAGTTCAAGAGAATTAGATAAATCTATTTGTTTTGCCATAGAAAGAAATCCAGGATATATTTAGTGTAAAACAAGAGAAATTGGAGAATAATAACTGACCTGTAATAACATTTATGTTAAAAATACACGAACTAAGGCTGGGCACGGTGGCTTTTGCCTGTAATCCCACCACTTTGGGAGGCTGAGGCGGGAGGATTGCTCAAGCCCAGGAGTTTAAGACTAGCCTGGACAACATAGCGAGACTCCATCTTTATAAAGAAAAATACACAAACTTTATTTCTGTATTTTCTCCCTGGACACTCTTCAGATCTTCTCTGTATCTTAAGGGTTTTTCAGAGATATATTCCAGTGTAGATTCCTTTTTATATACCTTTCTTAGGAGTTACTTGAATTCCTGTATCTGCAAATTTATCAATTTAGGGAACATGTTAGCTGTTATTTGTTCAAATATTGCTGCTCATTCATTTCTTCTCCTTCTGGAAACTAGTCATTCTTTTAATTCTTTTATCTTTTATATTCTCTATGTCTTTGTCTTTCTATGCTGCAAAGATAAAATGTTTTCCACTAATTCTACTCACTCGTAACTAATGTGCCATTGAATTTATTTGTTGAGCCTTTAATATCAGTGACTATAAATTTTTCATTGTAAGAAAATCTTGGTGTGGAGAGGAGGAGAGGTATTTTTTTAAGTGATTTGTTCTTTTATGATTTTATTTTATGTTCTTAATCATATTAAACATAGTTTACGATTGGGTGCAAGATATCTCAGTTTGCTTATGGTTCCAGTTAATTAATAGTGCCCTATTCAGTTTGGGTGGTAAAGTATATGATAAATTATTGTTTATATATCATCTGTAATGTCAGATATGGATGATAAATGGCGGGGGCTAGGGGAGTGTGACTGGGAGGTTTAACAGGCATAGATGCAGTATTCTGGTCTCCAAGACTAGAAGAACATGGTCTGGTTCAAAGAGACGTTGAATTATCTGTTTTTCCCCTCTTCCCTCCCTCTGATTCCCAGCGTCTTCTCCCCCCCTTTCCATGTGCTCACCTGAAAGCTCAAGGTTCCAGATGGAAGAACTATTTCTCTCGAAGAAATCTGAGATGATTCTGGCCCCCTCCAAACCAAGGTGATTGTTGGAAATATTCTAAAAGGCAAGAAAATACTTCGGTATGTAAAAAAGCTCACCAAAGGGCCCTCATGAACAAATGATGTCTTTTGTGGTTTACTTGAGTCCTGTGCTGAGGGTGTAGGGTTGGGATGGGGAAGGATTAGGAGGAATAGGGTGGTGCCAAGGACGAAGAGAAGAGCAATACGAAACCAGGCTCTAGAGCCGGCTTTTCCAGGGCCTGCCTGTGGGACCCGTGGGCTGGCTGGTCTCAGTGTTTTGGCTTCAAGGACTCCCTATTTTCCCAATTTAGCCTTGGTGCTTCAGATAAGCACGCTATTTTGTTTCTTTGTGTTAAAACCCAGAACAGCTTCATGTGGAGTGAAACAGTGAAAATTGAGTTCAGAGTGCAGAATTATTGTAAATTCCACTCATTGATTCGGGAAGTATGAATTGTCCTTTTAAGCTAGTGGGTGGGACTTTATATAAAGTGGCCATTATGGTCTTAATTGGTTGTTTCCCCCTTTTCTTTGAATTTCTTTTTAAGATGGTAAAATAAGCATAACATGATTTACCATCTTTGCCGTTTTTCAGTGTCCAGTGCCGTGGTATTAAGCATATTCCCATTGTGTAACCATCACCACCAGCCATCTCTAGGCACATTGTCTTTCATGAAATTATTTCATGTCTTTACTTTCTTTAAGAAAGTTCACTTTAAGGCAACTATGCAGAGCTACATTTATCAATTTTTTTTTTTTTTTTTTGAAACAGAGTCTCACTCCGTCACCTAGGCTGGAGTGCAGTGGCGTCATCTCAGCTAACTGCAACCTCTGCCTCCGGGGTTCAAGCAATTCTCCTGCCTCAGCCTCCCGAGTAGCTGGGATTAGAGGTGCACACCACCATGCACAGTTAACTTTTTATATTTTTAGTAGAGGCGGGGTTCCACCATGTTGGCCAGGCTGGTCTCGAACTCCTGACCTCAGGTGATCTGCCCACCTTGCCTTCCCAAAGTGTTGGCGTGAGCCACCATGCCTGGCCACATTTATCATTTTTAAGGTCTTCTAAGTTCCAGACAGAAATGGGTTCTTTTTTTCTTTCTTTTTTTTTTTTGAGATGGAGTCTCACTCTTGTCGCCCAGGCTGGAGTGCAGTGGTGCGATCTCGGCTCACTGCAACCTCCACCTGCTGGGTTCAAGCCATTCTCCTGATTCAGCCTCCTGAGTAGCTGGGATTACAGGTGCCCACCACCATGCCCGGCTAATTTTTGTATTTTTAGTAGAGACGGGGTTTCACTATGTTGGCCAGGCTGGGCTCGAACTCCTGACCTCAGGTGATCCACCTGCCTCGGCCTCCCAAAGTGCTGGGATTGCAGGTGTGAGCCACCATGCCTGGCCATAAATTGTTTCTTAGGATTTTCTACAGCCATAGGAAACACAGCCTCTCACGTGTGACCCTCCTCCGAGAAGTCACGTGGGAAGGGCAGGGGCCGGCAGGGCCTCTGGCTTGTGTCCAGTGGGTTGTGAATCCCCAGGGATGATGGTAGGAGCCAGCACAGCGGGGCACAGTACCATCTCCTGGAGGTAGTAGTTCTCTTGTAGCATCTCCACCAGGCTCAAGACGCCCTCCTCCATGATGCAGTTGTCTTCCAGCTCCAGTTTGGTAACAGCCGTGTTGGACTTCAGCCAGCACAAGGGGAAGGAGAGAGACACAGAAGCGGTTGGTGACCCAGTCAGTTCTCTGCTTGCCCTGAGATGCAGGCTAGGAATTCTGAAGGCCTGGCAAGGGCGAAGAGACCAGAACAGGGGCCGAACCAACCCGTAGAGTTTTGCTAGGACAATACGCTGATTCTGGGAGAATTTAGAAAAGAATCCTGAAAGCAATTAAAACCCTGACAAGTCGGAGGCACAAGGATGAGCTAAACAGATTTTAACTATTGAGCCCTAAGGAGAAAGAACTGTGACCTACTCCAAGATTAAGGAAAACTTGATACATTGAATAAGGATATTTAAACATAAAGATTCTTGCAAGGAGGTCTTTTAAGCATTGATTTTGCTTTCTTCAGAGGCCTTTCTTCTAATTTAGGCTTAAGTCTTATCTGGTACACTCTTTTAAATTCATATTTATTTATTTATTTATTATTATTTTTTGAGATGCGGTCTGTGTTGCCCAGGCTGATCTCAAACCCATGGGCTCAAGTGAGCCTCCTGCCTTAGCCTCCCAAGTAGCTGGAATTACAGACGTGAGCCACCACACCTGGCTCTGGTACTCTTTTTAATAGGAGGTGACCTCAAGTCTGTTTGGAAGGAATTGGACACATAAATCTTCGGTGAATATCTAGATCCAAGCTAGTCGCATTTCTTTTTTTTTTTTTTTGAAATGGAGTGATTTCTCTGTCGCCCAGGATGGAGTGCAGTGGCGCGATCTCAGCTCACTGCAACCTCTGCTTCCCGGGTTCAAGCAATCCTCCCTGCCTCAGCCTCCTGAGTAGCTGGGATTACAGGTGCCCACCACCACACTTGGCTAATTTTTGTATTTTTTTAGTAGAGACGAGGTTTCACCATGTTCGCCAGGCTCGTCTTGAACTCCTGACCTCAGGTGATCCACCCACCTTGGCCTCCCAAAGAGGTGGGATTACAGGCATGAGCCACCGCGACCGGCCACTAGTCTGCATTTCAATGAGGGGCAAGAGGAGAGAGAGGAAAGGACTCGCATTGCAGCATGAAGGACTGGGGTTAGCTCTAATCAGAAATTCGATCTTCCCTTCCCCACCTTGTTCCCAATACACACAGGTACAGAGAACAGACAGAGGTTTGGATTTGAGCATTTTCAAGTCCCACTAAGGAGCAAGAGAAGTAGCAAGTGGAAGGCGTGTTAATGCTGGTCCTCCCCAACCCTCTCCCCTGGAAAAGGAAAATGTGATAGTACAAGCTATTGCAATGCGGGATGGTTCACCCCCGGGCTTCCTGAAATGTCTTCTGGTCTCAGCTCTCTGGGCTGGGCAAAATTCAATTGCCTTGAGTTGTGCTCAAAGGCGAGGGAGATGGCTCAGGGGGCCTCCCAGTCTAGGTGCTATTTAGCAGTGTCTAGAAACATCAGTTGAATCACCACTGCCAGATTCATACTGGCGACCAGCACATTCTAGGGGGAAGCAGGAGGCCCAGTTCCCAAATCCATCCACGTTTATTCCACACAGGCCAGTGTCTATTTGTCACTCTCTGTGTTCACTGCTGGTGAAACAAGGATTAACAGAGAACGTTCCCATTCTCACCCCACCTGCTGCCCCCACATACAAGGGCACGGTAATGGGCCGTCAAGGTATACACGCAAGGATGAAATACTATCCCTGCTATTAGGCTGCTCCTAATCTAAGCCAGGGAAACACAAATACGTGAAAAGTTAATCAGTACAAAGAGCAAATAGAAGTTCAGTCCACCAGAATGTCACGATGATTACTTGTCAAATGAATGATACAGAGAATGGGGGAAGAAGAAACTCCTCCCAAACAGAAACTGCCGTTACTAAGAAACAAGTGGTCCAAGTCCCAAGAGGATGTCATTATGGTCCATGTTTTTCCCCCGAAGCTCCTGAGGTAATGGTGCATTCCTAACGCTTCATTAATCAGCCTTTCCACCACTGACAAATCTCAAGACATCTTTGTTCTTTCTCCGCCCCTTTCTTCCCATCCCCGGAAAACAGTGCAATCTCACATTTCCTGTCACTTCTTAAAGTGCATATGCTAAATGCAAATGCCATTATATCTTTCAGAAAGAATGAGTGTGTTGGGGAAAGTGAAGAAAAATAAGACCATGTATTCTAGGAATACACCGTTCAATGCCAACTGGGGGCTAGGCACTCAAAACGAACAGCAGCACACAAGCTTATCCCTCTTATCGTACAAGGAACTTACATTCTAACAATGATTACAGTAGTCCACCCCATCCTTGGGGGAAAACATCAAGACTGCTGGTAAATGCCTGAAACCAAAGATAGTACCAAATCCTAAATATACTATGCTTTTTTCCTATACATACTTACCCATGATAAAGTTTAATTCACAAATTAGGCACAATAAGATGTTAACAATAACTAATAATAAAATAGAACAATTATTATAATATACTATCATAAAAGTAATATTGCCAGGGCACCGTGGCTCATGCCTATAATCCCAGCACTTTGGGAGGCCAAGTGGGGAGGATCACTTGAGGCCAAAATTTCAAGACCAGCCTGGTCAACATAGTGAAACCCTGTCTCTACTAAAAATACAAAAAATTAGCCAGGCGTGGTGGCGCGCACCTGTAATCCCACCTACTCAGGAGGCTGAGGCAAGAGAATCACTTGAACCTGGGAGGTAGAAGTTGCAGTGAGCTCAGATCATGACCCTGCACTCCAGCCTGGGAGACAGAGCGATACTGTCTCTCAAAAAAAAAATAAAAGTGATGTGTCTGTGGCATATCTCTCTCTTGTTCTCTCTCAAAATACCTTATTGTACTGTAAGAACAACTGAAACTGTAGACAGTGAAACTGTGGATAAGGGTGGACTACTGTACCTTCTAGCAACCAACAATGACAGTGTATTTCCAGGCTTTTTGGAGCTCATCATGTATTTCATAACTGAATAGATATGGACCCACAGAATTGCCTTCCTCATTCATCAGTCTCTCAGATGTCTGCATCATTGAACTTGGCCTACTCAGTCTTCCTGCAGCTTGTCTTTGGCTGTCTCTACCATTCTGTAGCTTCTCCTGTCTCTCAGTCACTCATCCGCTATTGAATTCACTGACTCCTTTTCTTCTTTCAGCTCCTTTATAAATAATATTTTTAAAGAATTCTTTCTCAGTCCTGAAACTGTCCCTATAAACTAAAAAATTGATCAGGGAAGAAGGGAGGGGAGAAACAGAAATCAGCCCAGCTTGCAGCACACACAGCATTGGTCATGAGGTCAGCTGCTCTCTGACCCCTTCCTCAGAGTTGTTTGCTGCCTGTTGCCCTAGAATCACATAGACTCTGTCACAGGATCATAGTTCCTTTTCACTGCTCTACAGATAACATCGCAAGCATTGTGAAATGTTAAGTTTTCTATCTGAGATGCTGGTGAAACTATACTGACATCAGCTGGTCTGAAGGACCCCAAGAGAAGCTGACTCACCAAAGCATGCAGCTTCTACCTCCTGATGATTTCATCCCCCTTGTCCCAACCAATCAATGACCCTAATTTTTCAGTCCCTTGTCCTCCAAGATCCCCTTAAAAACTGTTGGCCAGGCCAGGTCCAGTGGCTTATGCCTGTAATCCCAGCAGTTTAGGATGCTGAGGTGGGTGGATCGCCTGAACCCAGGAGTTTGAGACCAGCCTGGGCAACACAGCAAGCCTCCTTCTCTACTAAAAATACAAAAATTAGCTGGGTGCAGTAGTGAACACCTGTGGTCCTAGATAATCAAGAGGCTGAGGCAGGAGGATCACTTAAGCTCAGGAGGTCAAAGCTGCAGTGAGCCATGATCATGCGACTGCATTCCAGACTGGGTAATAGAGAAAACCTGTCTCAAACAAACAACTCTAGACCAGAACTCCTTAGGGAAATGGACGGAAGCGTTCCTTTCATTTCCTTGCTTGGCCACCCTGTGATCATTAAACTCTTTGTTGCAAACTCTGCTGTTTCAGTGCATTGGTCCTTATTGCACAGTGAGCATATGAACCTGGTGGTCCTGTAAGTACTCTTTATTTTTCTCTGTTAATTCTTTCCATGGATAATTTAACTATTACCAATTTTAAATGTCACCTCTAAAGACACATCTACCTCTCTGTGTTACTGAGCTGTTGTATAATGGAATTTTCTGTTTACTTTTCTAAGTGAACAAACAGTGTTGTGCTGACATGCAGTTGTTAGGTTTTCTGTTTTTCTGTGATGGGAGTCAGTTTTGTGTGTAAGTCAGTTATAATTGTATAAAGTCATGCTGAACTCAAGGTCAAGTCCTTGTTTGGTTATACCAAGCTGAGAGATAACACTGTTTCTGTGGGAAAACTTGATCTATTCTACAGCACGGTATTTATGAATTATAATGTTGCACAAGGCAGACGTTGAATGGAATGGGTCAGTAGTAAACCCATTTATAGCACAGGTGAGCTTTGGAATGGAGACCCAGGTTGGCATTTTGTTGGTGCTCTTACATTGATCATTGGGCCTGGTCACTTTTCTGGCCCCAGGGGCTGGTGCCTTTGCTTCCTGAACAGTAAAGAGTATATAGACGTCTATTTTTTTCTCCCCAAAGTCTCTGCAAGGAGCATAGACTTCTAAGGCCCAGGTTGCTAGCAGCCTCCTACCAGGAGCTAAATAAATCATTTGGCAGCCAAGCAGAACCCAGGGCAGTGTGGACATAAAGGTCCCTATTTAGGCTCCATAGGAGGGGCCCTCTGAATCTTGGGCCTACCACTCTGCCAACCCTCCACCTCCACGAGGTTTCATGAGCCCCTGCTAGCATGCTCACCACCAGGGCTATAGCAATAGCCTTGGTACCCCTGGGGCCCAGGCCGTGGTGGTTGAGGTTCACGTAGGACTCCTCCATGTTCCGAATGAAGTAGGAGACAGGCACTACACCCACCAGTTTGCAGGCCTCCAGGTACAGCTCCTTTTGTCCAGTGGTGAAAAATTTCTCATTATCTGCAGAGAAAGATGGGCTGAAGTAGGATTTCTCTTCCACCTTTGCCTTCTCTCCCCTCTAGCCCCAGGTCACATTCACTCATGCCTAGACTGTCCTCTGCCAGAGGATCTCTCCCTGTGGGTATGTGCTAAGAAGCCAGCTCCTGTCTGGGACATCAGTCCATGGTGGGAGAGGGAGACTCTAACTCCAGAAAGTCCCAGATGAATGTTTTCCTTTGGGTAGGAGATGAGGTCCATGGTTTTAGGCCAGAAGCTTTCCTAGAAGTGAGCAGTGTGCTTCACCCCACCTGCCCAGGTTGGCCACATCCAGTGACTGGTCAAGGACATAGAAGGCCCAAGCCCTCTTACCCACCTTTGGACAACTCTGAAAGGTTAAAAGCAGATGACTTTTGATGGCTGATGGAGTCTCCATTTCACTTTTAATTTCACCACCACTATCACAAGGTTGTGAGTCATGAAAAAAGCTTCACCAAAGACTAATAGAGGCACCGACATTTAAAAAGCCCAACTAGGACAGGGTGGACCTCTCAAAATGGCAAACCAGTGAATATGGAAAGACCTCCACATCAGCGAGAAATAAGCACGCTTGCATATGAATGGTCTTTCTTCTTTCAAAAGTTTGCATGTCATTTTCCTTATAAAAAGGACTGTCATCCTTGCTTTATCGACGACAAACCTAGCCTCAAATAACGCACAGTTGGTCAGTGCTAAAACCAGCTAGCAGAAGTAGGGACTGCACCTTTCCATTCTAACCCCTGGGGGCGTTTATTCCTTAGGCTTTAGGCCAGCCTGGCCCGTGGTCACTGGGCATCAGGCCTCCCTGGATTCTGGGTGCCCCACAGCTGTGTCCTCATTAGGCAAGTCCAGCCTATGGCAGGGCTTCCTGGAGCCAGCTGGCCTCTATGTCTGCATCTGTTTTTCCTTTGGATCCCAGGGCCTTTGGCCAACCCCCTCCCCGCCCAAACAATCTAAGGCTGACAATGGGAACTTTGTTGGTAAAAGGACAAGTGCTTTACAGGGAAGCTGATTTTGCAAGCACAACTACAAAGCAGACTTCTTTTTGGGATGCTTGTACAGCAGCACTTCTCAACCTCAGCACTGCAGGTATTTTGGGGTGGATAATTCTGTTCTGAGGGCTGTCCTGTACATAGTAGGGTGTTTAGTAGGATCCCTGGCATGGAACCACAAGATGCCAGTAGCAACCGCCTACCCCCTAGTTTGCCCAATGTCCCCTTGGTGCAAAATTGCTTCCAGGTGGGAACCACTGTTGTGGAGAAAAACAGCTCATGGCATGTGAGCAAACCAGGCTCGTCTCCCCCTCTTCTCTAGACTCACAGCCAGCACTGCTCCCAGCTGGCCCATTTCCCGTGCCTTCCCTGCTCATTCCCAGTGTCTCAGCAACCACAGCAGGGGCACCAGGAGCCAGGGCTGCTGAGCCCCGAGTTTCCCTTCAGGACAGAGTTTTTGGTGCCAAATTCAGCCATTAGAGGTTCCTGTTGGCCAAAGCAGGGAAGGTAACCCCCAGTTTTGTCCCTGGGACTAATTCTGCTGGGTTTGATGCTGACCCTTTCTAGCTGTGTTCCCTATTGTTATGTTTTATGGGCAGCTAGAGACAGTGTTAGCACTTGCTGCAGTCAGGGGAAGAGGTAGGGGGAATGAAATAGAAACAGGACCCTTTGGCCAAACATCCAGTGTTGTCCTTTGCTACCTTCTCCAACCAGGTGAATGAAGTTGGGTGTTGGAAGCTACGTTAGCAACAGACTTGAAGTGGACAAGAAGCCAGAAAAAGAGCAACAAGCTGCCTGGGGGACAGTGGGGAGGAGGTCTGCATGGAAGGGTGAAGATGTATGTTGACCATGGTGGAGAGGATTATAAACGGACTTGATGCAGATGAACTTCACAGTTTAATTTGGCAGAATTGGCCTTCCTCCATCTCTGCTGCCTGTGAATCACTGCCCAGCAGCCAGCTGCAAGGCCACAGGAGAGAAAGGGTGACTGGACTAGCCTTGGCCTGGGAAGTTTGAGGCTGGCCCTGTCAGATGGAACCAGTGTCATTCTCCCCTTGCTTAACAAGTGTTCTCTTTTGATGCTTCCCTTCTTGGGGAAACTGGGAGGAGAGAGGGTGGAGGTGTTGTTTGCATTAACAGAGTCTTTGTTTCAGCTCAGCCGGTCCCCATACCCAGGCATGCTTAGATTTATCAAGAAAAGTAGGGGAAACCAGAGCTCTAAGGTGAGTATGGGAAAGTCACTGGGATGCAAGATAGGCCACAGAGACACTCCAGGGGCCTGGGATATGGAATACAGAAGGCAGGACCATCAGAGTGAGTCAAACACGGGATCAGCCAATATGCTGGGCAAACTCCCATTGTCCCTGGGCAATGCCTATGATCTCTTTAAGGCCCAGTTCTTCTTCTGTTAAAAGTGGGCAATGATGTCTACCTTCTAGGACTATTGCAAAGATTGCATAGGATGCCCATGTGGAAATATTTAGATCAGAAAACCCTGTTTGTGTATTGATTCAGTTTTTAACAAGCTGACGTGAGGGTACTGCTCCTGACGCAGGTGAAAAGCGTGGGAAGCTGAAGCTGCTGTCCCCGGGCAGCCTGGAGGAGGACTCCAGGCAAAATCGAGCACAGGCCTTTCTGCCACATTTCCTCTACAGGCCGTCCGCAGGGCAGACTCTGGAGTGAGATGACAGCTCCTGGAAACCAGATTTCTCCAGCTTCTGAGGAGAAGCTGCCCTGACCGCCCCCAAATGCCCATGCTCACCTTCAATCTCCAGGTCTGTTTCCGAATTCTCCCGGGCTGGTTTCACTTTTTCTACAGTTGGCGGGGGTTCGGCCTCACAGTAGAGCGTTTTATCGCTGCTCTGTGGTACTAGCTCAGTTTCAGTCTCATCTGGAAGAAAAAAACTCATCTCCTTGATGCCAGGAATAAAACCTGCTGGCCTCTCCAGTAAAGCCTGCCGCTACCACCCCTCTGTCTCTGCTCCCTTCCTCTGAGCCCCAGGTCCTCAAGGTGCCAAGCCCTGCCAGGGCAAGTCCGCTCTACAAACCTGCCTTCCCCATTAGCGCTGCCTCTGACTGCTGGGTCCATGGGGGCTTGTGAAACCAACTCCCTTCTGCTCCCTGGAGACTGGCTGCTCCTGCCCGCTTCCCTGTCTGAGGCCTGCCTTGGAGATCAGCTCCTTGCTCACACTTTCCCCTTCTTATGTGTTTGGGTGGGTTTTGAGGTGTGCTGGCACTCTTTCGGGTGAAAGGTTGGGTCCCGATACATAGGCTTCCTTATTGTCAGGCACAAATGGTGCCAGGGAGTATAAGGGGCAGTGCGGGCCAGCGCAGGTGGCAACTTAGGTCAAATAGAAAATAAAATGGACCAGGAGCAGTTCCAGAGAGCAAGAGAAGGAAGGGTGACTGGGTTAGCTTTGGCCTGGGAAGTTTGAGGCTGGCCCTGTCAGATGGAACCAGTGTCATTCTCCCCTTGCTTCACAAGTGATCCTTTTGATGCTTCCCTTCTTGGGGAAACTGGGAGGACAGAGGGTGAAGGTGTTGTTTGCATTAACAGAGTCTTTGTTTCAACTCAGCCAGTCCCGATACCCAGGCATGGGTAAGAATTTGACTTACCTTCTCTTCCTTCCAATCTAACATTGATTTGTGATCAGGAAAGGAGGGGCTTGAAAATCTCCCTTGGGTTGAAATGAATTACTATGATTAATTCATAGTGATGAATTAATCATATTACTGGGAACAGAGCTTCCCTCACACCAGTCCGCTACACTTGCTAGATGTGGTTTTACCACCTCTGGGCCATTGACCTGGGATCAGCCATAGGCTTGTGGAAGCCACACATAAAATCCAGAGCTCAATTCTCAGGCATCAGCAGGACTCAGTAGTTTCAAGAAGCCACACTATGCCTCTGAATGACGTGTCAGAATTTAGCCAACCCACTCATTGGGTAGGCTGAGCGTTTGTGGCAGGGGTCGCAAGTTTTGACCACCCAGATTCTAGGATGGTGGGGTTCCTAATGAGTCCATGTTCTTTCTTAATCCTTGTCCATAGACCCAGGTTCCAACATTTATCTCCCAGCCTGTCTGGGATACACAGTGCAGGTAGCAGTAGCCTGGTAGTTAGAAGACAGACAGCAGCTTGGCTGCCAAACTGCTGAGTGCCTTAGAAAAGTGATGAATTTCTAAGTCTTAATTTCCTTGTCAAACAATTTAGAATTCCATACAACCAGTAGGATGCTGGTAAATATTTAACAATTGATTCTCCAGGAAAAAAAAAAAAACACCAAAAATATCCTGATTTATAGTGTTAGCCAATTCATGTGGTGTAAATATTCCCAATGTGGCTGATTTCAAACTATAAATATGGTATCAACCAGCCCACACAATACAAATTAAAGCTGGCTGGAGCCAGTATGACATAATTCTAGCATAGCACTGTAGCCAACTCTTCCTGTTTGCCAAGCCCTGAACCCAAGTCAGTATAACACATCATCCCACTTCTAGAGGGTCCCAGGTGAGGAAAGAAGTGGGCTTCAGGGTCCTGTGATCACTAGGTGTTGTACTGAGGCAGCGGGGATGGGCCTGAGTGGTGAGAGATGGGATGCCCTTTCACCTTCTGTCTCAGGCTGAAGAGGCTTGTCATTGTCCATGGTGCCAGGACCCTCTTGAGGGCAGCTGCCAACTTCTTGCCACCTCTTGACTGCTTCCCTAAGAAGCACACCTGTCCATTCGCCTCTGTCTCAAACTTTGTGAACTTCTCTCATGAGGGGGCATCCCAGGGGAGCCTGCAGTTATCCTTCCCTCCCAGCAAGCCCTGGGAAGAGTGGGCTTTGATGGAAATTGGATGTGCATGAATTTGACCCCAACTCTGTCTGGGAGAGGTAGCTACTTCTCCAGCTCATCCGGGAGAGTGGGACTGCTCTATTGCTGGGACCCCTGTCAAAAGGATGCCCACCCCCCTGTGACTTTGTGACTCAGGAGCCACTTTCATTTCATCTTCAACATTCCGTGACCTCATGCAGTCATTGTGATTCACATGGTGGACCTGGCAACAGCAGGCCTCCCGCCTTCTGGCAGGCACCTGTTCTCATATGTCCACTGGGGCCAAGCCCAGGCTTGGCTGTGAGTGCTCAGGTGCTGTGCGGAGGGCCTCTCAGTGGTGTTGTATTTCCCTCTGAGTCAGGACCCAACCCAAGCCCCTTAATTAGGGGACTGTGAAGAGCCGCCATCATGTTCTTCTCGCAAGAGAGCTGTGCTTCAGGTAGGAAGTATTTCAGTGGTGGGTGAAGTCGGTTTCCTTCTGCCCAGCTCTTCTTCCTTTTTTCTTTTTCCCATGGGAGAGCATCTCAACCTCGGAGCTGAAGATCAAAAGCAAAGCACAATGAACATATGTCCTATCACTATAGTTTGTTGCAGCCAAAGCATTGTTAAATCCAAACTACGGGGCTGCCTACGTTGAGACTGTTCAACCAGCATTCCCACACTCGGCCATTCTCACGTGTGTTGGAGTTGAAGTCCAGTTGCAGTTTGGTGTCAGGAGAATCTGGAGGCGCATTTGTTCTTTCTTGATAAGTTTTCAGGACATCAACGGTCAGGTCAGTGACTGGAGGGCTTGAGGATGTGAAAATTCCTTTTTCTTTCCTTTTTTTTTTTTTTTTTGTTGCTACTCAGAATGCGGAAGATCTAGAAATTTGTGCAAGGAAAACATGATTAGAACCGTGGATCAAAATAAATATGTATGCCTGAGATGTTACTTATTCCTTCGAGCATTCACGCTGAGAAATACTTATTGAGTCTCTATTATGCACAGGCGCTAAAATAGGCACGACTATGGGGAAGGGATGCAGACATGATGAAGACAGGACCCTTTTAAGGCATGTGCAATGCATGATAGAAATTGACAAGGCCACACCAGGGTGAGGGTCCTGGGCAAATACTTTTGGCAGAGTTCTTGCTCATATAAACAATTTGAGTCACCCTAAGTCAGCATGTCAGCACCATTCTGGTGGCCCAATCTCATGTGGTCCTTCTAAAGAAATACCACACAGGCCAGGGGGATGATCAGTTCCTAGGATGATCAGGTAGACATGAGTCCACCAGTGATCCTCAGGGCATCTGGCTGACCCACACTATTGCAGAGGATAAGGAAGCATTAACTGGGAGAAAGAGGGATCAGAGGGCATGTGTGTCCTGGTCTAGGGTTCTCGGTGCTCTACTTGGAGGGCACCATCTCGTCTCAGGTACTGAAGGGTGAGTGAGAAAATCTAGAGGTAGGTGCTCCAACTAAGCCACTGGACAGAGGCGCCATCAGCCTGGGTCTAACAGCAGCAGGGAAACTGAGAAGGGTCTTTGGGGAAATGTGCTGGGAGTTCAGGGAGGGTGAGCCTTCTTCACATTGGGGAGCTTTCTTGGGCTCTGGACAAGTAGAGTCTGGGGAAAAGGCATTTCCAGGAGGTCAGGATGAAGGAAGGCAGCAGATCTCCAGGTAGGAGTGCAGGCTGTGAAGAGGAGTAGCGGAACGGGAGGCCACCAGGGCCAGAGCAGCTTCAGGGAGAGATCCGAATGCAATTAAAAGGCAATAGGGAGACATTGAAGAGTTTTGAACAGGAGAGTGACATCATCAGAGATTTTCTTTAGAATGGTTGACAGCAATATTCTTTGCATAATAGTTATTTCTGGAAAAAATAAAAACATTTAAGGACCATAATTTTAAAAAATGTGTATCTTTTAAAAACCCTGAAATGTAATACCTGTAACTTCTTTTTATAACTTATTATTTTTCAAAATTTCTGTGATTATTGTTATTTTTTCTCAAAATTTCTGTATTATTAAAGGGGTTTCTTTTTTTTTTAGATGGTATCTTGCTCTGTCGCCCAGGCTGGAATGCAGTGGAGTGATCTCAGCTCACTGCAACCTCCACCCCCTGGTTCAAGCGATTCTCCTGCCTCAGCCTCCCCAGTAGCTGGGACTACAGGCATGAGCCACCACATCCAGTTAATTTTGTATTTTTAGTAGAGATGGGAGTTTCACCATGTTGGCCAGGCTGGTCTCAAACTCCTGACCACAAATGATCCACCCACCTCGGCCACCCAAAATGTTGGGATTATAGGCGTGAGCCACTGCGCCGACCAAGGGTATCTTTTTTTTTTTTTTTTTTTTTTTGAGATGGAGTCGTGCTCTGTCTATTGCCCGTGCTGGAGTGCAGTGGCATGATCTCGGCTCACTGCAACCTCCGCCTCCTGGGTTCAAGCAATTCTCCTGCCTCAGCCTCCCAAGTAGCTGGATTTATAGGTGCGCACCACCATGCCTGGCTAATTTTTCATATTTTTAGTAGAGACAGGGTTTCACCATATTGGCCAGGCTGGTCTCAAACTCTTAACCTCAAGTGATCCGCCAGCCTCGATCTTCCAAAGTGCTAGGATTACAGGCATGAGCCACCATGCCCAGCCACACTAAAAAAAAAAAAATTTTTTTTTGAGACGGACTTTTGCTTTGTTGCCCATGCAGGAGTGCAATGGCATCATCTTGGCTCACTGCAACCTCTGCCTCCCGGGTTCAAATGATTCTCCTGCCTCAGCCTCCTGAGTAGCTGGGATTACAGGCATGTGCCACCATATCCGGCTAATTTTGTATTTTTAGCAGAGTTGGGGTTTCTCCATGTTGGTCAGGCTGGTCTTGAATTCCCGACCTCAGGTGATATGCCCGCCTCGGCCTCCCAAAATGCTGGGGTTATAGGTGTGAGCCACCATGCCCGGCTCCAGTCACATTTTTTAAATTAATCTTTTTATTTTGAAATAATTTTAGATAACAGAATTACAAACATAACAGAGAGGTCCCATTTATTCTTCACTCAGCTTCACTTTATGTTAACATCTATATAACCATAAAAAATGATCAAAACTAAGTTAATATCAGTACAATGCTATTAATTAAACTATAGACTATATTTGTATTTTACTAGTTTTCTCATTAATGTCCTCTTTTGGTGCCAGGAAGCCATATTACATTCGTTATTGTGGCTCTGTTGATCTCCTCCAAACTGTGACATTTCCTTAGTCTTTCTTTTGTCTTTCATGACCTTGACACTTTCAAGGAGTACTGGTCAGATATTTAGAATGTCCCCAGTTTTGGTCTGGCTGATGTTTTTGTCATGGTTATTGGGAAGGGTGCCACATAGTTGATGTACCCTTCTTGGTGTGTGTCAGCAGTACATGATGTCAAGATGTATTATATTGATCACTTGGTCAAGGAGGTATCTGCCAGCTTTTGCTACAGTAAAGTTGCTATTTTTCCTTTTATACAGAATACAGACTTAGATACTTTAAGACTCTGCAAATGTCCTCTTTCTGCTCAAATTTTTGCCCACTAATATTAGCATCTATCAATGGATCATGCCTCAATAATAACTATGGTGTTCTCCTGGTGATTTTCTGTATTCGCAATCCTTCTACATTTATCGACTGGAGTTTTTCTACAGGAGTTGCCCCTCTCTACCACTTGTTTATTCAGTTGTTTGTATCTATAGGGACTCAGGTTTATTTTATTCCTTGGGTTACAATACAATACTATCATTTATTTTACTGTTCAATTTCCAACTTTGGCCATTGGGAGTTCATTCAGGTGGGTTCCTGTGCCCTCCTTTTTTTGAGCACTTCCTTACTCCTCCTCCTTTTTTTGACATCCTCCTCCCCCTTTTTTTTTAGCACTTCCTTACTCTCTGGAGTCACAGAAATTACTTTTCTGGGCAAGCGCAGTGGTGCATGCCTGTAATCCCAGCACTTTGGGAGGCTGAGGCGGGAGGATCACCTGAAGTCAGGAGTTCGAGACCAGCCTGGCCAACATGGTGAAACCCTATCTTAGCTAGGTGTGGTGGCATGCGCCTGTAGTCCCAGCTACTCAGGAGGCTGAGACACAAGAATCACTTGAACCCGGGAGGCGAAGGTTGTAATGAGCAGAGATCTCTCCACTGCACTCCAGCCTGGGCGAGAGTGAGACTCTGTCTCAAAAACAAAAAAAACAAAAAAACAACAAAAAAAACAGAAGAAATTATTTTTCCAAGGAGAATTGTATTTGGAAACCTAGGTCTGGGAGGTTGTGCACTCATCACTATGTGGGTATCACTACTTCTGGACTTTTTGGTGAACAGAGCTAGGAAATATATGTGTGTGTATGTAAACTAACCAACCCATAACACACATTTATATTTATTTCCATACCAGTCCATCTATATATGTACACTGAACAAAAACCATGAGTCTATACTTATGCCTCGATCCCCAGTCCAGCACTATGTGACTCATTCATGCCGTCTCCTTTTTCGTATTTGTCATTTCTTTCTCCTGGCCATAAACCTGCCTCTTGTTTTCTACCATATATCTGCTTATGTGTTCATCTCTAATATATATACATAATTAGTTTCAGAATTGCTAAGCCATAGTCCTAGAAACAAATTTACTAACTAGAGCATGGTGTCTGTTAGTATATAAGGTTGTGGTTGCTTACCCTTATGGTATCCAGTCAAAATACATTTTTCCCCAGTTACTTAGGTCAACTCTTTCTTCTCACCCCCTTCAGTGGATTATTTAATTCACGTATAATACAGTTAGATTCATTTGTCAGAGTCTGCATTTCATCTTTCCTCACACATCCTGGTTGATTTTATTATGGCTGATATATGGCAGAATTCATTCTTTGTGGTATACAGTTCTATATGTTTTGACAAATCCAGGAAGTCATATATCCACCACCATAGTCCCATTCAAAAGAGTTCCATCACCCTCAACAGCCCCTCATGCTGCCTCTTTTACCCCTCGTCCCTTCCTATTTCCTGGCAACCACTCTTCTCTTTTCTATCCTAATAGTTTTGCCTTTTCTAAGTTACATTAATGAAACCATACAATGTGTTGTTTTTTGAACTAGCTTCTTTCATTTAACAAAATGCATTTAAGAGTCATCCACGTTGCTGCAGAGTTCTTTTTTATGGTAGAGTAATAGTCTGTTACAGAGATGTACCACATTTTGCTTATGCATTCACCTGCTGAAAGACACCTTCTTATTTTCCTCTTTTTTGGTGATTATGAATAAAATGGCTATAAACATTCATGTGCGGGTGTTTGTGTGAACATGAGCTTTTTTCTGTCTTGAGTTCTCCTGCCTCAGCCTCCTGAGTAGCTGGGATTACAGGCATGCGCCACCACGCCTGGCTAATTTTTGTATTTTTATTAGAGTCAGGGTTTCACCATTTTGGCCAGGCTGGTCTTG